ACAATTTTTTGTTTTTTTTGTCCTTGAAAACAAAAAATTACATTTAGAATAGGTTGTCAAACAAGCTTTAAATTAGAGGAAATTGAGATCCCAAGTTATCCATATTTACTAAGTTCATCAGAAAATCTGAATCAGCCACTTGGTTTTGCTTCCTTGGCACATATTGAATGTTAACATATTGACAATTTGGAGGAAGATTAAGCTGCCACTCGGTATTGACAATTTTAAAAAGGAATTTTAAATTAAAGGGAGTGACAAACAGCACTTTTAATGAGTTATAAATATTGGGACTGATTTCGCTTATATAGCGTTTGAATTTCTAATATGGGACCGTTAAAGATAAAAGGAAAGAGAAGGGGTTGATTATATAATAAGGGTAAATTTTATTACAAATTTTATTTCTTATCATTTTCTATGGTTTTTGTGTCTTTTTCTATCATTGTTTTGATCCTTTTCCATAATTTTTGAAGCTATTTTTTTATATTTTTAATTAATTAACAGTCAAAATTAAAATTAACAACAAAGAGGAGATTGTAATGATTTCAAATATTTAAAAAAATATATATATATATATATATATATTAAAAATGAGTTTAAAATCTTAAGTATTTCTGAACGTTTAAAAGTTAAATTATCATTTTATATAGAACAAATTGCAATTCTATAAGCAGCTTTGCATACCATTACTTCATCACCTGACTGATGGTTTCTTTCATAGACTTGAACCTGCAAAATCAAAAAACATGTAACACCCTACAGGGTATATTTTTATATGGGTTTTTTCTATGCTAATGATGGGATGTTGTTGCACCTTAAAATTAATTCAGAAATTAAAACCCAAACTCAGAGCAATATAAATTTGCTCACAGCATAAAAATATATTTGAAAGTTGTCAAGGAATAACTTTAATGTACAGTACAGCTTTTTTTTGTCAGATAATAAGGTATAGATTTTTAATATAAAGTACAATAAATGAAAAATTGTCTCGTTTAAAAAAAAAAATTGTTGGGACCCAGAAGAAAGAAGCTAAAACCAAAAGATTCTTGACAAAGACATAACCGCAGGGGTAAAAATGCTTTACTCTTCTCAAGTTCAAGACAAGGTTTAAAAAGAATCAATGAGGAGGAGGAAGAAGCAAGGAAGCAGAGATTCTCATAACAACCAAAATGACTGATACTCCTTCCTAATACATACAGGTTGAGGCAAGAAGCCATTTGCTGCAAAAATCTTCAATATATGAGTTTCAAAACAATTTCAACATTTTTTAACAACCTCATTAAACAGCAAAGGTTTGTCAACATTAAGTAATTAAATCCAAATCAAGTGATAGCAGTGCTAAGCAAGTAAAGGATAAGAACTCCATTTCAAGAAGTTCAATATGGAAAATTTGAAACACTATTACCTCATAAAGTACACAAGCAACAAACAAGTTATAGAATCGGATGGTGTAGTTCTTTGTTTGTACAGCAACTAACCTAGAATTGCTGTCAAAGGCTAGCTTGCGTGCAAGACTTCCGCATATGTCTTTAGAAGATAAAGCAGGCTAAAAAGTAAGCATAGAGGTTGAATCAAGTTATCAATTTCAACAAATGTGAATATAAACATACAATTTTTATTGGAAACAAAATGAAGACATGTAAATAGGCACAAGATGTTTTCCTTTACTTTTCATCTTCTATAGGGTTATTCTGAAGTTGAAATGACACAATTTTAATCAAAGTAACTATAATTACCTGCTAGACTATAAGTGATATGGCTTTTGTATACATGTGACATGGGCTTTAGCCCAATTCTAGTGTTAGTTTGTTAGTCATACATATAACTATATGTGTACTGTGAGAAAGTTTAAGTTAAGATGATCAAAATTATAGATTTAGTACTCACTATAATTACTAGCACTATTAACTTCCTTTTTGATGCAGTAGTGATTTCAAAAATTAACCAATACAATTCACATATGGATTTTGAAAGGTATATGATACTGTTGTCTGCAAATCCAAGTTAAATGAGGAAAATTTTCATATTTCACATAAGTTAGAAATGGAATTGGAAGAGGAAAATATAGTATCTTTAAGATATCAAGAAGATTTAATCAACCAATGTATAAACTAAATTTCTCAAAATAACTCAGTTCAGTTAAGCATAACATATTCTTATGCTTAAATCCCCAATGGTTTTATTAATAAAATAAATAAGATCAGCTTCTGCATTGTGCATCATCAATTCAAAATAAACTGTTTGTCTACTAATGCACATGTCGTCTATAGCTATTCAAAGTTATAGGTCCGTATTAAATTTTCCAAAACTCTTACCTCCTTAAAAAAGCATATAACAGGGTCTGATTATTAGCATTGGTAGCATTTCAATTCATTAGAAGACAGTCAAGAAATAAATAGTCAAACACTAGAGAACAATCATAGGAGCTAACCTTAATGCCTGAGATTGACCTTGAGATTTTTATGGAAGGCATCTTCAGGACATGAATATGATTATCTACACATGATATTTGAAGACCCTCAATTAGCAAGCAAGTATGATCAGCTACTTAACATCCAATTATATGTTCTACTGTAAACAAGTTTTTCCTTATAGAGGAAAGTGAAGGATCTGGAGGATCTATGAAATACAGAAGTGGAGATCCAATTCTTGGTAAGAATTTCTTCTTTCCTGTGTCCAACTGCCACACCACAAGGACTCCTTCCTTCCCACCTTATAGAAATCAAAGCAATAAAAACAACAAATTATACTTTTGATGAACATCTAGCTAAATATATTTTGTATTGCTTTTGTAGAGAAAAAATTATTCATTACTCGGAAAGCTCTGAAAAAACTTTGAAACTCAAAGACATGTATGAAGTCATATGGAGTGCCAAACGGCTGTGGATGTTGTAATGTGAATCATCAAACAACATTGGACAAGCCATACGAGAAGTAGCTTGCATTAGATTAAATGATTTTGACTTTTAAGAACATCCTAAATCTGGCAAATAAGACAACAAGCTACTTGATTCAATAATAATAATAATCCATAAAACTTTTCCACATGCAGGGAGTACCTTTTATACCATAAGATACATACCTGAATACAAATAAGCTCCATGTGAAGAAAAAGAGAGAAACATCACTCTTGAAGGGTGCCAATGCCAAGTGGAACATGATTCAACATCATCATTGTCCTTGACCCTAAGTTTTTCTTCCTCATCATCAACTAATCTGCTATTCACTATTCCCCTACTAATTAAAAATTTTTATGTATCAAATCCTCTTTGGATTAAAATACTTCTAGATTCATCACCAACAACCACGATTCTCTCTATTGGGTGGAATGCAAGACATGTGAAGGCCTTTATATGATGCAAAGTAATATTCTTTGACGCAATAGTATTGTAGTCCATTATAGGAACTTTTCATATATGAAGCTCGCGCTTGTTTTTAATGCTCAAAAATTTTCTTGAAGGACTAGTGATCAATAACCCCAACCTTTTGGTCTGTTAAAAAGTGACCTACCAGTTATGCACCTAAAATCAATGGGTAATTAAAAAACATTACATCTTGGCATGATACATTAGTAATTCTAAGGACTTGTTTGGTTAAGGGGAAGAGAGGGGAGGGGAAGGGAGGGGAAATCTTAAAAAATTTCCCTTCCCCTCCATGTTACCAAATGAGGGGAGGGGAGCCCCTCCCCTCCTCCTCCCTCCCCTCACCTCTCTTCCCTTCTTTCAAACCAAACGCAACCTATTGTATATATAAAATCATTATCTTTATTTGCCACTCACGCTGTTCTAGTTGATTTCAAAACATGTGGAGCAGCTACTAACTTATCAAGAATAAAAAAATATCATGAAAAAATAGAGAAAACAACATTTTCTCCTGCTTGGCTATTGAGAAAAAAGTAAAAGAGAGAGAAAAGTGGGAAGAAAATATCATGTGAGACCCATATATTTTTACCTTTGACTTTTCTTTTCTAATATGAAGAGATTTTAGAAAAAAATTTCATTTTCAAATTTATTCACCAATTTTTTTATTGCTGCCTCTTGCTTCCATATATTTTTATTATGATATTTGTTGTGTAATTATATTTTGATCATGAACTTTTATTAAACAAATAATATATTTAATTCTTAGACTAAGTAGACAAATGCTAATTTTAAATTTTCAGCTAAGTATTTTATGTCTGATTGTAGCTTCAAATTTTAATATCATTATATATTTAATAATTTAATAAATAAAATTTTAAATTAGATAAAATAATTTTTTGTCAGTATTGGATAAAATAGTTTTTAATTATGTTTTTGTTCAGTCAATAATACATGATAAAAATTATTATATATAATATATTAAAATATTAAATTTTATCATATAAATATTTTTATAAAGAATAAGGTTATTATTATTCATATAAAATTAATAACTTTTATCTCATTCTTGTTTTCTCTCACTTAGCCAAGCAAAATGAGAGAAAATTGCATCCCTTCACTTTTTCTTTCACTCATTTTTTTTTATTCCTATTTTTCTTTGCAAGCCCAGTATAAATGAATTAATGCATCCGATTTATTTAAATATTTTTTTAGCGGAGAGAGAGGAATAGCTGGAAGAGGAGGTGCGTATGTTTTGCTTGTCACGGCAAAAGATTAGTTTTTAATTTACTCTCTCTACTTTCATTTATAAATTATTTTAATATTTTTATCAGAATTAAATAAAATTTTAAATTTTATTAATTTTATTTAAAAATTAAATAATTTTTTAACTTTACTTTTATTAAATATAAATAATTTAATATTTGATAAGCTCTTAACATTTAATAGGGATAAAATGATTAAAATAAATATAATAATTATTAAGGTGTCTTATAAATTATAAATATTAATGATTAATGATAATGATGATTAATCCTCTTATACGACGTCGTCTTCCTCTTCCCCGCCCACAACAGCCCAAATAGCCGTCTCTCCTCTTTCGCGCCGCGGCAGCGGCGTCCATCTTTTGGGTCGGTGGAACAGTTGAGTAAGCGACGGCGAGGTATACTCTATGGTTGTTCCTCCTCTTCTTATTTCGTATCAGCTGCCTAAGTGGCGAACCCGCCATCGCCCTGGGCGCTGCTGATTTATTTCCTTTCTCGTGGCATTTGGTGTTTAGGTGATTAGGAATAAGGGCTAGCGTTTTTATCTCTCAGCTGCACTTCTTGAGTTCTGATTGCAATTTAATGATGAATCTTGGAGTTACTGCTTTATCAGTGACGAAATTGGAAAAACCAATATTGGAAAACTTTCAGAAAGATCTTATTTGTCCACTGTGCTGATGGAGCTGTAACTTGATGGTTAGAGAATCCAGAAAGAAACCAGGACCAACTTTCTTATTTGTGCAATGTGTCTTTTCACTCCTTATGCTGTGCTTTTGTTCTCTCCTCCCATTTATCTTCGGTTCTACCCTCCCGAAAAATTGGGGCGCTCTTTGCTTAATTCTTTTACAGCAACGCAACCTCACTTTCTTTTCGTTCCTGCTTGTTTTCGATGCGTTGTTTTTCTTATGGTTGTTGATTTTTGTATTTCGCCTGTGTAACTAAATTTTAGAAAATCCTGTAGGGCATAAATGAAATTGACATGAGTAGAAGTCGTATAAACTGCACAGGTAGAAGCTTTAAAGGAATCAGTTGCCAGTTTTAACAAGATGGAGGACTTCCCTCCGTCAGGAGTTGAATTCTGGGTGGGCCAACGAGTACACGCATCTGGTGATACGCGGAGAATTGGTACAGTTAAGTATGTGGGGCCTGTAGAAGGCCATTCCGGCACATGGGTTGGAGTTGATTGGGACAATGGAGATGGAAAACATGATGGTTCCATCAAAGGGATCCGATACTTTCATGCTAGGTCTGAAAGATCAGGGTCATTTGTTCGTCCCCAGAATTTGAGCCAAGGCATTTCATTACTGGAAGCTCTTGAAATCAGATATCGGGGCGACTCTACTAAAGATGAAGAGGGTATATAAGGGATTTAAATTCTTATATTGTTAAATTTATATCGTTTGGTTGATGTTAGGAAAAAATATTGAACGTGGTCTCACATTGGTTTTCAAAAAAAAAAAAAAAAAAAAGAAAGGAAACCACTTCTATCAAGTTAAAGCTGTTTTTCTTTCCTTCTTTTGTTCTCTTGTCGTGTTGTTGAATGAAGTTGTTAATGACTTGAACTAGCAAAGACAAGTGGGGTAATGCTTAATTCTAATTCATCAATTTTGATGGAAACTTTGCAGTGTTTGGGATTTCATATTTATTTACCTTTCGGGATAAATTCTCAGTTTTGCAGCTATTAATTAATTGACTTTCTACTGAACTTTTGGATTGCCTGATAGCGGTTTTTGTTACTTAAGTGTCCACAGTTTTAGTACTTCATATGATATTAAACCACGGGACCACTTTCCATTATAACAACCATTTATATATTATTTTGAAGCTTTCTGCTACCCTTTATAATCTGTTGACTTTTAAGTCTGTGTTCTGTATATAGTTTCTTATTATGCTGATAAGACGCAGAAAACTAATTTGTTATGTTCTTTTTTCGCAGATGAAATGTATGTGCTTTCAGCTAGCAACAGACGAGTCTCTATACAACTTGTGGGTAAAGATAAAGTTAAAGATAAACTAAGTCGATTTGAGGAGTTGACCAGCGCATCACTATCATATATGGGGATCAGTTCCCCTGGGATTCCATGTCATATCAATACTACAGTTCCAAGTAAGCTTGACATCGATTCTAAAATTTCATTTTATTTCATTGCACACATTAAGATGAATGAATGTGGAAGTTATCTTCCATCCTGTTGAAAGTGTAGAATCAGGAATTTACTATGCTTATAGCTGAAACTATATTTGGAAGCTCTTTTTCTTTGTTCTATCTCTATATTTATATCCTGCTAGGCATTTTGGGTATAGGTAAGCAATTCCTCTGGATTTTGCTTGCAAAAGGGGGAAAGAAAAGGGCGTATAAAGAAGTCCAATCAAAATTGTCAACTTGCAGTTATGCGTGCGCACACACACAAAAATAATATCAAGAGAAAATTGTGAAGTTGAAAGCCTTTTTTGTGGAAAAAATTGATATCTCCTTTTTGTTACTTTAAATGTCACCTTTTCACTTTTTGCAACATTCATAAACTTGAAAATAAGTGGTGCCAATGTCTCAATGCCTATGATCACCTCTCTAACAGCAAGGGCTAGTTCTAATCTCTTTTTGCTCTTGGGAGAAGCTTTTTTTCTCTGAGATAACTTATGGTGAAGCATTACACTTTCTTATCCTTCCCAACACCAGGCCAGTGTTGCCTTGTCCTCATGCTTCAGTGGTTAATAGGGGCTGGATACTCATTTAACCTGCACTTCCTCCTTAAACCCCTGTTTCTTGGAAACACATTAAGTGAATTTTCCCTTTTGGTTTTTTGCTGCGTATTTGCAATTGGATCCACCTGTTTTTTCATATTTTTCTTTTGTTGCAGATATGAAAGAACTTGATCTGACTGGAAATTTGCTTTCTGAGTGGAAGGTATGTCTTAAAAAAGGGTTTTGTGCTCACTTTTTTGTGGCAGAAATTTTGTTTACAAATTTATACTGTTGAAGCTTGGGCTCGGATGCTTTTCTTTTGCTGAAACTTTTGTATGTTTAAGTTGAAGCACTTGCATTTATGCAATTATCCACCTCATGTTTGATATTCTGATTGCAGCTGATAGGAATCAATTATTTATGTTAGTTTCTTTTGGGAATATATTTTTAATTAAAGTACTAGTTTATATGATGTTATTGCTTAGAATAGCTGAAGGGTATGGCGGTAATGGGTTATTTTAATTACAAATCTCATTTGTTTCAAATTTTTACCTTTCTGATCCCTCTGAGTTCTCTGTGCCAAAGGCAGAAGAGCCAAAATTCAAAAAAGTTATAAGATTTGCTACTTTATGTCTGTAATAAGCATAGATGGCTGTCTCAGAACATTCATTGCATGTTCTGTTCCTCGATCTGTTTGCTTGGACAAGTACATATAATCTTCAAAGGCCTCACTTTATCAGTGCACCCAATGTTATTCACCACTTTATTTCATTTGTTTATTCACGATTGGTCATTTGCAGTACATTACTCTTCTCTTTGGTCTTTTCTTGATGACTCTATATTGTGACATTGGCCTTCCTTGACTGCCTCAAGTTCTATGTTGTATTTAAGAGTATAAGACATGGACGAACACAAGTTTGTTATTTTGCCAGCTTTTTAATAATAGTAATAGCAATTGGATATTCCTATGACATTTAAATTGAGAGGTTCCTTGAAGAAAGTACCAGATTCTTCTCTTTTCTTTGATTTCTCTTAATTAATAATATTCCTAAAAGCTTGATAAATGATAGAGCACAATGGCATCTTGCAATCCATGTAGCCGACCCCACCTAGTGGGATAAAGGCTTGTTGTTGTTGTTGTTTGTCTGTAGGGTGATATCTTGTCATCCTCCCTTGTGCTGCTCTTTTTTTCTCAATTAGTTTCTTTCCTACCACTGGCCAAAAAAAAAAAAAAAGTTGGTCTGCATGCTTGAAAGACGATTTTCATGTAGAAAAGTCAGAAGGTGCATTGGCTACTAATCATGTTGATTGGTGATTAATTAGCATTTCTCACTTGTTGATGATCTTTTGAAAGGATGCTGGTGCAATTTGCGAGCAGTTACCTCTTCTTGGGACACTCAACTTATCGAATAATTTCATATCACCATATGCATCAGGGCTTCCATTACTGAAGAACATCCATGTTCTGGTTTTAAATAATACTGGTGTAGATTGGGTGCAGGTGATTTGATCTTGTTTCTTAGTTTATGTCTTTCATAGGTTTTCTCAATTTTTTATTAAAATTCTTATTTATTGTCTTTTAATTAGGCAGGTTCAACTACTTGGACAATCATTGCCAGCACTTGAAGAGCTACATCTTATGGGAAATAATATGAGCACAATACTGGTATCTTGCCTTTAATTTAGTGGTGCTTGTTATATATCTTACATAGATTAGCTATTTAGTTTTAAATGCCTTGTCCCAACCAGCTTATTGGTTGATAACTTGAGAGAGAGTAGCTGAGAACACACACACCAACCTACAGCTAGCTCACAACTTGGAGCATAAAATTAAAATGTCCACGTCCAACACATCACCAAAATATTGCCAAATTGATGTTAGTTAAGATTAGATCCTACAATGCTAAAACAAGTAGCTCACTGCATTGTTGATGTCTTCTTTGGTATCACTCTGCCGTTTGTATCTAATTAAGGGAAGTTAGCAAATATTTCGTATATGGCAAACAGCTATTTAGGGGAGTCACACTATAATGTCTGTTAAAGTCATATGATGGAGACTCTATGGAATGGAAGTTCTCTTATCTTCCCTGGGGTATTTCTATTTTGACATTGAAATCATTACTCATTCGAACATAGTTGATTAATTAATTTGACTATACATGTTTAGGGTTGGTGCTATTTCTAGGTTGTACAGAAGGATAAAATTCCCCTTAGACTTTAATCCTCACTTTCATGTTTTATGTTATGATGTTCTACTGCTTTAAAAAAATATATAAAGAAAATTACTTTTCTAATTCCCCCCCCCTTCCCGTTCAGCCTATGTCTTCCACTGTGGTTCAAGGATTTGATTCGTTGCGGTTGTTGAATTTGGATAATAATTGTATAGCTGAATGGGAAGAAATCATGAAGCTCTCTCAGTTAAGAAGGTTGGTAAAAGAGAAAGTTCACGAGTCATTAGTTCCTTTTCATTTCTTTTGTTCTTTTCCTTCCCAAGAACCATTCTTTTGTATAGACTCAGTTTCAAGTCTAGTAATTTGCTGAATTTTCTATGTTGGTGTGATTTTAGTTTGGAGCAGCTTTATTTGAACAAAAATTGTTTGAACTGCATCCATTATCCTGATCATTCTGGGGTGGAAGTTACATGCCCTAAGCCTTTTCAGAATTTGCGATGTCTTCTATTAGGTAATTTGGTACTATTTCTTATAATCATCCTTCCTACTGTTAAATGTGTATCAACTGTCTATAAGTATTTTGAATTCATCTTTCAGGCGGTAACAACATTGGGGATATGGCTTCCATTGACTCATTGAATTTTTTTCCTAAATTGGTGGTAAAGTTCATATCAACCAGTGTTTATTATGCTCCGAAAATATCTATTTTGTAATTGTGGGTGGATTTGTTTTATGCAATTATCTAAAATTCAATACTTTTGGGTTTCAAGCATTATTGCAGCTAATTGGGCATAACTTTCCCTGGGTGTATTTTTTTTTTTTTTTTTCATCTGCAAGGTTGAAGTTTAAACCCTCGCCCTTTCTTAAGGGAACTTGAGTTCCTTTCTCTTAACCCAACCACCGTTCGTATTTGTGGGTGGATGTTATTATTGAAATCTGAGTGATCGAAAGGGAGAGAAGAGAGAAAGTGGCAGTCCCTCAGTAGCCTCTTCCTCCTCTTTCACATCTGTTAAAGCATTTTCTCCTTGATTTATTCCTTAACTGTGTTTCTTAATTCCTCCTTCTCCCTCACAATCCTCACAATTTCCTCCAGCATCTGTATCATTTTGTCGACGTCTCTTAGCCATTTTTCCATTGTCCACTCAGGGAATCTTCTTTCAATTTCTCCCATCATGATTCCCATCCCCCCCCCCCCCCCAACATCATCATCACTCTGATACCAAAACCCCAAGCAAAGATGGAGGTGACACAGAGGCTACTATCATCCCTCTGACTTTCACTTTCAAGAAGAGTTTGCCAGAAAAGTACACAAATGCTGAAATTGCTAAGAAAAGGGAATTGGGGCTTTGTTTTGAATGTGATGAGAGATTGCTGAAATAGCTCTGATATCAAAATGATGAATTCAGCTCCAGAATTATATTATTTATTTAGTAAAGATCCTACTGCTAGAATATAAATCTCACAGGATTGACTACAAATTTAGCTAAGCAAGAGGGGAATAAACCAAGACTCCCATGCATTCAATAGGCGTAGACTCTCCAACAGAAATTCACTGCCTTACTCAGGTTCCTACCGTCACCTTTAGTTTCCAGATTCTCTCTCATCTAATGGCCTGAGATATACAATTCCTCATTGCCCTCTAAAGTCCCACTTGGACTCTCCCCTCTCTTGTTCTTACTTTTCCTAGTATAAATTAAAATAGGCCCATCTCTCACTCTTCTTTCTCCTATAATATGTAAAGACTTGAGGCCCAAGTCCATTCCCATCAAAATCTGTGAGTGATGGAGAACAGAGAGGAGAGAGCTATGTCTCTGATCACTTAAGTACAAGGCCAGCATGATTAGTAGTACCAGCCATGCCCACTAGTCATCAAATCATTTTAATTTTCAACCTTGTGATCACAGACTCATACCATTTGAACATAGCTAAAAATTATTCAGGTTTTATCTTGTTACAGATAGAATGAAGCTATAAACAAACATCAAAATAACGACTAGACTCTGCAACCCACGTAGTCACACAGACATGCTCTATCCTGTGCTAGCTATTCTTGTTTTGTTTGATCATATCTTATGTTCTTATTATTTATTTTCAATAATTCTAAAGGATGTCAGGCTTTCTGAAAACTTAATTACTGACCCTGCAAGAGGTGGAGTTTCCCGATTTATTTTGATTGCAAGATTAGCAAAAATTCAGATTCTGAATGGGAGTGAGGTAAATTTTGGTAGATTTCTCTGTTCCATATTTGCTTACTTTATTTACTTCTGTTATGAAGGCTAATGTTTTTATATTTTATTTACCTTACAGATTAGCCCTCGAGAGAGGAAGGACTCAGAGATTAGGTATATTCTCATAATTTTGTGTTTCTATGTGCACTTTGCAACTAAAGCATGCTTTCCTATCATGAATTCTGCATGCTTGTCAAGCAACTTGTATTCTAGTGTTTTGAAGTAGTGCTGCTTTTGATCTGGATTTTACTTACTAACATCTCTTGTGCAGGTATGTACGGGTGGTTATCTCAAGGTCTCTTGCTAATCCTGAAGAAATCAAACAGCATCCCAGGTGAATTCATGCCTATTTTGTAGGGCCTTTTTTCTGGTTATGGTCTTGGGATGGAGATATGACAGGCTAACTCATTGTGTATTTGTATGGAATGCTTTAATAAAATATCACCAGCTAACGGTGTAGAATTTGCAATTTAATGATGTAAATTTAACCAGTTAACGAAGCCAGTTGATGCCATGAATTTGAAGTTTAAAGATCTAACCATCCGAGCATTTTGATTCACAAAAAATTATTGAGGGCAGCTGAAGCATTTCATAGATCTGATTGGATCAAAATGATTAGGGTTATCTGGTTTATAAAACATATCTGTGTTTAATTTATATTTTTCAATTGTAGGTATGTAATTTTAAGGTTTTGTGGTCACAGCTCGGTGGGCTGTGTTTAGCTATATCAGTCCTCCTGCTCTCTCCCTCTTGCACTCCTTTCTATTTCCTGCTATCTGACTTGGCTGCATGGTTGGGTTGAGTCCCATGTGATGCCCAAAAGACCTAATTCTTTCATGGGAACCTTTTCTAAAGGAAACATGAAATATATCATGGAGGATGGGAAGGTTTTAGATTGTAAAGTCGCATTCCTTATGGAAAATTGAAAAGTGGAACCCGGATGTTAAACTTTCATCGCAAGTTTGGTTTGATAACCATGATATTAATTGTTTATTAGCAATTAGTTATCAATTGCTTTATTAGTGTTTCTACAATTCTATACTTACTACAGGTTGTACAGTATTCATAGCCTATCACACAGCATATGTTGATCAGACAAAAGGTTGCATAACTCACAGACACCCCCCCCCCAAAAAAAAAAGAAAAAAACTATATATTCACTTTGTCATTTGACATGGAGACATGTTTTGGAATGCTTTTACATTGGGAGGTCTTGTGATATTTCCTTCCCTCCTCCATTCTGCTGTTTGGAGTTTTTTATTTTTCCACACCTTTTGATGGACCTGAATTTTTAGTTGCTTTTCTTTTATGAAAAATGTTTTAATTTTTAACTGTTATCCATGTAATCTGGTATTCCCTGAACATCAAGGACTCTTCGTCAATATTTTTGCTTCACATTGAGTTGTTTTACTGATGATTTCATTACAGGTTTTCTGAACTCAAGAAATTTTACGGAATTGAGGATGAAAGGACTTCAACTGGAACTTCAGGCCCACAAACAATGGCTTCAGGATTCTTGTGTAGGGATGTTACTTTTTGCATGAGTTTCTTTTATTGAACTTAAAATGGATGCTTAACATTCTGGAAAATTAATGCAGCTATCACCCTGAAGTGTGTGGGACCATCCATGGGTGAGAAGCCACAATTGACGAAGAAACTACCGGCAACAACAACAGTTACACCCAAATACTTTTCTACTATATCATGTTCTTTCTATGTAAGGCAACCCTTACCAATTACCTCATTTTTCTCAGGTCGGGAAGCTAAAATTGCTCTGTGAAAGCTTCTTTAAGCTAAAGTCCGTGAAGCTAAAACTTTATCTTCAAGAAGAGGTTTGTTTTTCATGTTGAAATATTGTGCTATTTCTTATTTAATTGCCGGATAAAATTTTTAAAAATCGGAAGCATCGCTCTCAAAACATTCATGGAAGGCCCTTGATTAATTTGAGGAATATTTTTCGCTGATGTGTTTGCTTATAAGATATATATACAAGTGCATATGGACAACTTCCTGAGCTATAGGTCCTGTAAATTAGGAATTAATGAAATGAGCTCACCTAGTTACTGCTCTTGAGTTTTAAATATATCCTGTCCTACTACGTGACAACCAAAACCATGATATAACGGCCACTAATTTGACTTTAAAATTAAAAGCAAATCATAATTAACACGCCCCCTCTAGCTTTAGTATAAATGTCAGTCATTCTTAGCTTGGATACTTGATTGTTAATGTTTGTCCTTGTCAGTGCTTTAGTAAATATATAAGCAAATTGTTGACTGGAAGTGGAAGTGATGTAGGAAATGTTGATAAAGCCTCCGTCAATTTTCTCTGTAATGAAATGTCTATCTATTCTCACATATCTAATATGATTGTGAATTTGTGATGGACTCTTTGCGATGTTGATAGCTGTTTGGTTATCACAATATAACTTTGCGACTAGTGAGAGCTTGTGTGATTCGGCATTTGGTTAAAATTCTATTTCTTGCTTTAATCATATTCGTCTTTGGATTTACAGGGCTCTCCACTGCCTCTTTTGCTTGACAACGACATGGCAACTTTCGTTGACCTTGGAATTGGTAACGAATCAATTATCATTGTAGATGAAGGAAGTTAACACATAAGTTCCTGCAAAACTCGAAGTGAAATTTTCTTCTGATTTGCTGCATTTAATGTTACAAGTATGCTTGCACGTATGTCTTTCAATTTCCCATGATAAAGACTTGCGTATTCAATTTCTTAGCTGGTACTTTTAATGGTAACCCCTGCTGATATGATTATTTGAAGTTCATATCTTGGGTTTTTTTTTTTTTTTTTGCGGATTATATAATTGAGAAGGTTTTTTTTTTCTCCCATGTGTAAACTGTTTTTCTATGAATGTGTCATATTTACCAATGTTTTCAGAACCAGACTCGATACTGAACCGAAAAAGTCAAAGGTTCATGATTTGCATGGTCCAACTAATGGTTGAACTGGTAACATAATAATTAAATTAAAAAATTATATATGTATATAATAATTTAAGTATAAGAAATAAATATGAATGTGTTACTTAGCTTAAAAATAAAATTAAATATTTTAAGTTTATCATGAGTTTATAAGTCACATGATATGACCTAACATTAAATGATTAAAAAATTGATCATTTAAAAAATTTGATAATTTTTTTTTAAATGTCATTTTTTTAACAGTTCGGTTTTCAATTTGATCTTGGTTTTCAGTTTGACCGTCGATTCAAAGTGGTTTAAATTGGCTCAACTTTGCCAATGGTATTTTTTTTTTTTTGGTTGGTTTGATTGAACTGTTAGCCTAGTTAGTTGATGGTCTTTGATCATCCAGTTTAATCTAGTTTTTTAGTCATTGATATTTACTTTTGGGTGAACAAGTTTATGACATGTATTATAAACTGGCATCATTTGAAAAATGCTTAATCAATTATTTCTTTTTAGCTTGGCTGGTGTGGGCCTCGTAGGTTTCACAAAGGCCAAGAAATCGGCTTCAATGTTCATAATTAAAAAAAAAAAGTAATAAGTTTTGTTTGTTACTCCCTTCAATTTAGAATTATTTTTTTTAGAAAAAAATTACTTTATAATCTTTCTTATTTTTATATAAAACACTTTTAATTATCTGATTGAAACAAGAAATAATTAAGTTATTGATTTTATCTTAAAATAAAATAAACTTGTAATTTTATTTTTATGTAAACAAAATTTTAAATTTGCATCACATTTCCTGTAATGAATTTAAATAAGAAAAATATTAGAAAAGTGTAATTAATATTCTATCAAGTCTCTTATAATAAGGATTAAATAAATTTTCTAAAAGTTGTTTTATGATAAAGATGAGATGGAGTATTAATTGTCTCTTTAGGCTTCCAAACCACTATTTAATGATACAAATTTTCTTATTTTATCATTAATGGCAATATAATATTATTAGCACATTAATTGAATATATTTTACATGAATTAGGGATAGATTTTGTAAATTATACAATTACGTTGGATAAATGACATAAAAATCAAGCTCCAACAATTGAATCTTGAATTTCTATTAATTTATTAATTATAATATAAAAATTGAATACTAATAAAACAATATTTATATAACCCAATTATTATAATTGTTATTGGCACTTCCTCACTGAAACTCCAAAATCGCTTAAGCGAGATTCTTCATCCCCTTGCTCTCCGGTTTCTTTCTTTCTTGCTTACTAACACAGGTGAGATTCCTTTTTTTTTTTGGGGTAAAAGGTGAGATTCCATTTATAATTTTTGGTGATTCCATTTAATTCTTTCTTATCTTATTCACGATTGTTATTATTTTGATTAAAACTGAGGCACTTCATCATTGAGGCCCCAGAATAGCTTAAGTGCGATTTGTTATCCCCTGCTCCCCCAATCGATGTGAGTCTTCCTTTTTCTTTTTTTCATTCTTCTAGTGACTAATGATTCCATTATTTTGATTAAATTGATCTTGTAGCCGCAATAATATTAATCTATGTGTGATTTTTGTACACCAATAGGCACTAAACCGGAGGCTCATTTAAATAATAAATTGGTCTTTGGTCAAAAAAATAATCAAGTGGTCCATAATGCTGTCACATTGCAAGGATTTTAAAAATGGAGAATGATAATAAAATCCCCAAAGAAAGAAATCAAGTCAAGACAGATCCGACAAATTTTTTTTGAAAATTAAATTTTAAAAATTAATCCAATATAAGTTGAGAGCTACATTTAGAATTTAATTATGTTATTTCCAATAAGAAAATATGAATTTGTGATTATTTAAATAAATATTTTCAACTTAGTTTTTAGAGAAAAAATTAATGAAAACCTAAATGTCATCAATTCTTTCTTTTAGGACTTAACTGTTACTCATTGTCCTAACATATTTTAAATAAAAAGAATGAGAGTTAAGTCCTAATAAATAAATTAATGACCTTCAAGTTTGGGAGGATAACCCAAAAAAAAAAAATACTTTTAAAATATTCAAATGACAATTAAGTATGATGAGATGTGATAATTATTAGGAAAATTACATATAGTCTCATTGAAGCAGCTTATTTAAAAATAATTCTCCGTGAAAATAAAAAAGTACAACAAGATCCTTTGTGATCTAAGTATAATTTCAGGTTGGAGTGAAAAGACACTACTACCCCTTAAATATAAATAATAGATTGAAATTGTATTTACTATTCATTTACAATTGTACCTTCACAATTTATGAGTAAAATTTTTTAATTCACAACTCTTATTTCGTATTTTACAGATAGTAGACTAAAATTGTATTTATCAATCATGTACAATTGTCGCTTCAAAATTTACAAGTAAAACTTTTTATTCACAAATCATATTTCATGTTTTACAAACGATAGACTAAAATTGTATTTACTAATTACTTACAATTGTAACTTTAAAATTTACATGTAAAATTTTTTAATTTACAAGTCTTATTTTGTATGTTATAAACTGTAGATTAAAATTATATTTATCATTTACTTATAATTGTAATTTCATAATTTATGAGTAGAACTTCTCAGTTCACAAATTCTATTTCATGTTTTATAAACAATAGACTGAAATTATATTTATTATTCATTTACAATTATAATTTCACAATTTACAAGTGAAACTTTTTAATTCACAAATCATATTTCGTGTTTTATAAATAATAGATTGAAATTATAGTTATCATCCACTTACGACTATAATTTCATAATTCACGAGTAGAACTTCTTAATTCACAAGTCATATTTCATGTTTTATAAATAGTAGAGTAAAATTGTATATATCATTCACTTATAACCATAACTTTATAATTTATAAATAAAACTTCTTAATTCACTTACAAATGTTCAAGTCTTTTGTAAATTGTCATATATTTTCTTCCAGTACCATGTACCTATCAACTTTTATGAAAAGTTTGAATACTGGACAATAAAAACCAAAATTTAAAGTGATAAAAACTTAAATTGAATAATAAAATCTTAACAGTTAGATTCAAATAAAGACTTTAGCTTGTAAAGTAAGTATAAGGACAAAGAGAAATAGGGTCAATCACAATTGATTGTGATAATGATGAAGAATCATGGATTTTGGACTAATTAAGAGCGATATAGAGTGAGCAATTGTGGACTAATAAAGAGAGCGTGCTTACCGTTTAATTTAGGTAGGGGGCATCTTTGTTATTGTAACTTAAGAGGTAAGGGTGATAGTATCTTTTCACCCCAACTTTAAATTAAACTCAAGTAAGAGACCTGCTTGTAATTTTTGAATTTTATAAAATTTATTTTAAAATAAATTGCTTCCACAGGACATATATTAATTTTTTCTAATTATTTTATATTTTTTAGAGACACGTGAGACAATTAATTTTAAGAAAAAATTATATATTAGTCCAATAGAGCAAATTTATTCATAAATAAGTTCTGCAAAATTCAAAAATCATAGTAAAGCCTCTTGACTCGTGAGTGTAATTTGAAATTAAATTGTAAGGATAATAATACTTCTATTAAGTATACATTACATCAATCAAATAATTAAATTACAACTATTTCATCAAGCAATTTACAACTATAATTTTAATTTTTTACAACTATGACCTCATATATTCAATAGTTAAATAATCATGCATTGCTAACAAAGTTTAACATTAATTATTTACATCTACTTCATCAATAATTTATAATTATAATTTTAACTTTTTATAACAGTAAATTCACATATTCAATTAATTTTAGATATATGAAGTTATGATTGTAAAAAGTTAAAGTTATAATTGTAAATTACTAATAAAGTAGTTATAAATTATTTGGCTGATGTAATGTATATATATGTTTAATAAAGGCATTTTACCTCAATTTCAAATTATACTCAAATCCTAAAGGACTTAATTGTTGTTTTTACATTTTGCGAGACTTATTTATAAATAAGTTTGTTCCATGAAATTTATATGTAATTTTTTCTACTTTTAATTTAAAAAGACTATTTCACCCCTTTAATTTTTTATTTTTTTTATTTTTTTAAAGTGCCTAAGAAGACGTTCTCTTCATGCGTTCTTCTCTTCATGTGTTCCGTCACTCTCTGTGTTCTTCTCCCTGAGTTTAACCATTGGGACTCTTTCTACAGACAAAATTTCAAACCCCACAAACCATCTTTTCAAGAAAACTTTTCTCCATCCACGCGTCCTCGTCCTCGTCCCTCTCCAGGCGGATAGGGAGATGGAGGAAAAGTTCCATGAAAAGGCGGTCTGTGTTTTTGTAGGTTTTATTCATGCAACTGTAATTTTTCTTTCCATGGTTTTTACTTGATCATGTTGCTTCCTCCTTGAATTCCTCTTTAAAAATTAATTTTTTTTGACATTTCACAAGTTTTTGATATAGATACTTTCATGACAACAATATGCAAGGAATTTGAAGGTGCTTATACCCTAATCTATTTTCTGTAATTCTCTATAATACTTGTTGATATTGTAATTTTTGAATTATCATGCAGTAAGAGATATACAAAACTTAGGAATATCTATATCTCATAGCCTAAGGAGAGAAAAGCATTATTTCATGATGAGATTTTTGTAATAGAAAATTCTGGTTCTGCAAGCAAATTCAATTTGCGTGGGCCAAAGCTTGGGAAGATGAAGATGAAGATGAAGATGATTTCCAACAACCTGAAGAACATGGTTCTGCTGCCTGTGGGGGTCACATAATTGATGATCATCATGGTAACTGTGGTCGTGGGTTTCTGCTATAAACTCAGATCTTACTTGCTATTGTGGAAGTGCTTGGGATTATTAGATTTAAATTTATGTTGGCATAAGGAATGTTCAAAAATTGAAGTATACTCCGACTTCATTGAAGCTATAAATCTCATTGTTTTGAGGCTCCAATCTTAATCATAAACGACATCATTTATGAAGCCTATTTTTTTTTTTTTATTACTAGGGACTTGTTTGTTTCAATTAATTTTGCTTGTAGAGATGTGCGCTTGTTTAAAATTATTTTTGTTTAATTGTTTTGAGAACTGGTATGTCATAAAATACGTTTTGAGAATAAAAAATAATGAAAACATGTGTTTTCACATTTTTCCTTATTCTCCAAGACAAAAATCTTGGAATAACTGAAAGATATTTTTTTTATTTTTCACAATACTTCTTTCATTTTAAATTATAGGACACTTTTAAAAAGTCTTTTTTGTCCCAAAATATAAAATACTTTGGATAGATTAAGGTTTCATTAAATGTAACAATTTTAACATTACCTTTTCTCTCTTTGTAACTAATTTTTGTCCCTTTTTTTAATATATTAATTAATAAATATTTTTAAAAGTTTATATTTTTATTTTGAAAAAATAAGGTTGTTAAGTTTATTTAATGAAATTTATTGATATATGAGATTTTGTCTAAAAATATCTTATAATTTGAGACGGAGAGAATAATATTTAATTTTTTTATTCTTCAAAATTTTTTTTGAAAAAAACACATTATTAAACAAATTTTTTTTTCTTCTAAAAAATAAAAAATTATTTTTAAAATAGGTTGCCAAACAAGCTCATAATTTGTAAAGCTAACTCTTTGCTAGAAAAGCTCATGTTTGTGAGAGTGCATGTTGCATCTCTGATTATTACCCACTTTTTCTTTTATAAGGAGGTGAATAATGATTCATTTGTCTCTTCTCCTTATAGATTACATATTAGTTTTTGATAGTTATGAACGGAGTTCAGTATTTTTGAGGGGGAAAAAACTTCCAAAGCACTATCCAATGATAGTTAATGGAATATATTTTACATAAATGAGGGACAGATTTAGTAAAATATGTTTTTACTTATTAGTTGTATTTTTTAATTTGCGTAGAAAAAATATTTTGAAACTAAGGGAGTAGAATTTTCATGTCGTATATATGTAAACATAAATGGGTTGGTTGAACATCTTTCGATTATTAGGATAGTTTGTCTTGGCTTCCCTACGCTCCCCACTCAGCACTTCCACTGTACTTTAGGATGTTTTGTACGGTTCATATTTAATATTTTAATTTTAATTTATATTTTTAAAATAAAATTAATAAATTAATAAATCATATCACTATGTTTTATATGAATGGTCCAAATTTAATATTAAAAATTTATAAAAATTCTAAAAAAATTTAATATTAAATCTTCACTATTCAAAGTATATCTAGATAGTTAAATTATGATTTTTTTTTCATAAAATTGATCACTAATATGGACAGTTTAGATTTAATATAGATAATCTAACTTTTATATTAAAAAATTTAATATTAAATATTTATTGTCCAAAGTATATCTAAATATGTTATTTTATTAATGAAAGTTATAAATTTCACCTATATTAATTGTTTATTTTTTTTACATCAATTTTGATGCCCTTAATTTCAATAGGAATAATAAAGTAATTTTATTTAGCTCTTCAATTTTATTTCAGTTCCCAAATAGTGAAATTTTATAATTTTAGTTTACCAATTTTAAATCTGGTCCAGATTTCGAAGAGGAGGGAAATGGGTAATTTTATATTCCTTTCCAGCCGTTCTCCTTCATGTAAACACAAATACGAGATAATAAAAAAAATTACTGAGCAGGGGAGGTTTTGAATATACATTATAAAAAAAAATACGAGATAATAATATTGGGCAGGGGAGGTTTTGGATATACATTATAATTACTTCTATTACTAGTATACCCAAAAAAAAAAGGACAAAAATGAAAAGGAAACACAAAAATTTCACCTTTGTAATATAAATGGACAAATAAAAAAGTAATCTTACGCAACTTCAACCTCAACTGCGGTTGACCTTTGGTGAAGGAATTGATACCCATGTTGATGCCAACCCGCAAAGTAAGAAGCTAAAATAGCAAGTCACTAATACTAATACATAAAATATGTGAGAAATCTACTCGTAGATCTGACTTCTTCTTCTTCTTCTTCTTCTTCTTCTTCTTATTATTATTATACTGTGGTCAACGCAAAATATGCGCTTTGTTCAACCAGTGCAAAACCTCGATATAGTTCTACAATCCAACGGGTATGGCAAAAAATCAGATCCATAAGACTGGAGTTCACATCAATGACTTTGTCATAGATCAGTTTTGTGTTTTGCACTAACAAACAGCAGAACTAAGAAATTGTGAATTCAAACTTTAGTAATTGATTGAATCACATCAATTTGTAAACGACCAGAATAAGGGATAAGATGAAAGTCAACAGTGCGTTAAATAACAACCAAGATAAGAAGGGGAAAGTAAGTTAGTTGGAAGGTTTGTTTTGATTTTAAATGCAAAACTTCAATCTCCTTTGTCTCATTTATTTTTTCCCAAACTTTACCTATCGTTAGATTTTTGTTCCCAATATAAATTATTAAAAGGATGGGCATTTTAGGAGAACTAGCAAACAACTTTTAACCCAAATTTTTTTTTTAAAAAAAATAGTACCTAAGGGAATCCAGAAAACTAAAACAAAAACAAGAAACGTTTGAGGTTTACATGCATTTTATTAGTGTCTTGTCTCTTCTGGGTGTTGTTTGACTTTCTATTGTGGTTCCCAAGCTCTTGGTTTTGTTTGCTGTTATTGCTCTACCTCGTGAGAATACAGAGAAGAAAGATGGCTAAAGGTTTGAAGAAAAGCAACTTCGAAGTGCTGGGAATGTGTTGTAATTCAGAGGTAGCTCTGATTGAAAAGATTCTGAAGGGTCTCCTTGGAGTGAAGGACATCTCAATAATGTTCCCAACTCGAACAGTCACTGTAATCCATGATCTTGATCTAATTTCTGAGTCACAAATCAGTGAGTACCATGTTATTCTTTTCCTTCAAAGTAGATACTTTAATATCCATAAAGCATCACCTATCATGATTTCTGATATCATAAGACTTCGGAATCACGGCCCATAACATGAGAAATGAGGGGAGATATATATCTACTTGAAAGTTCCAGCAAGACACAACCCAAGCTCATATTTTTGTTTTCATGTCTGCATAATTTGTGTGACTGTCAGCTGATGCACTGAACATGGCGAGGCTTGAAGCTAGTTTGAGACCAGAAGGAAAGACTAAGCATGAAAAGAAATCACCAGCACCAAGTACTTTGGCTTGTGGCTTGTTACTTGCACTTTCTTTTTTGAAGTGTGCTTATCAACCTTTGGAATACTTGGCTATCGGTGCTGTTCTTATTGGCTCACCTAGAGTTCTGTTAAGAGGCATAGCTTCCATCAGGAATCTTTCACTTGATATCAACATTCTGGTCCTATTAGCAGGTGATTATTTTCCTTGTTTGGATTATATATTTATTGAAACACTGTAGTTTATTCACCAAAGAAAGTATAAAAGAATGCTAAATTCTAATCTACGGAGAAAGAAAGTAAAAAAACTGTGCATTATGACTTGCAGTGTTTGGTACTCTTGCTTTGGGAGATTTCTGGGAAGCAGCAATCATCACCTTCCTATTCTCAATAGCTCAATGGTTAGAGACAGTAGCAAGTTACAAGGTTTGAACCCATCACATCTCATTACAGTGTGTGTAAATGTACTTCAGATTTCAGCTATGACGATGGATAAGTGTCTATATTGACTTTTCTTTGTTCTACAAATTAGCCAACTGGCTTGTTTTCAAACATGCTAAGGAGCTTTAGAAGGAAGTTAGCAGAATCCCATTATTTCTTCTGTTACTCTTAATTGGAGGTGATTGCAGCTGAGAATTTCTCTATATCCTTAGTTTTAAATCTCAAAGTAATTTAGTATCGTCACTCTCACATAAAATATCAGTTAGATGATCTTGAGTCTATGCTCACTAATGACAAACATGGTCAAGTGACTAGCACTTTATCAAGGTAAGTTTAGATTGAGTTTATTTCAGACTATATTTGGATGAAGGAGAATCTATGAGAAGGGAAAGAAAGGTAAACTTAATTTTATATTTTATTCTTGATTAAAATTAACGTCTGCTGAATCTCTTGGAGCTTCCAAATAGTCAACAGATTCATGTTACCATTTGGCATCTAAGTTCTCAATGTATACTTTTTTCAATTCACAGGCTATGGCCGCCATGTCCTATTTGACAAACATGACTCCTCAAAGGGCCATTATAGCTGAGACTGGGGAACACGTTGATGTCAATGAAGTTATAATCAACACTGTCCTTGCAGTCAAGGCTGGTGATTCTATTCCTCTTGATGGTATTGTTGTTGAAGGAAAATGTGAAGCCGACGAGAAAATGTTGACTGGAGAGTCATTCCCTGTCAGCAAAGAGCTGGGTTCGACTGTTTGGGCAGGCACTATTAATCTAAATGGTTTAAGTATCATTTTTCTTTTGGATCCCTTTTTAACTTCGTCCTCCAAGCAATTCTTTGTCTTAAGTTTGAATTTATTTTCTTGTAGGTTATATCAGTGTGCGAACAACTGCATTGGCAAAAGATACAGCAGTGGCAAGAATGACAAAGCTTGTTGAGGAAGCCCATGCCAGAAAATCCAGAGCTCAAAGATTCATAGATACCTGTGCAAAGTACTATGTACCAGGTCTGTGAGCTTCTGGTACCAAATTGTAGTCTAGAAATCTGCTAGATACCTATATATATATTGAAATATTACTTCATCTCAAAATCTTAAGAAGAAGAAACATGAATAATATTTGATTTCAACTACACGATGAATGGATTATTACTATAAACTATAACACATTCACTCACCCCAAAGCCCTTTATTTAGGGCACCAGTCATACCCAGTAGCATAACTGAACACCTGAGATGTAATATAACCATTTGGTCACAGGAAGTTCTAATATCATGCCAAGATCACTTTATGATTCTTCCTGCCAATTCAAACTCGTTGTTTGACAAGTGAAAGCAAAATACTTTCACCAGCAAGCCACAAGTTCAATTGGCTGCCAAAGACCACCTTAACTCATCTTTTCCTTCTCCAATGAAAACAAGGCAAGTGCAAAGCTTTTAGCGCTAAACACTACATTATTGGATTGTTAACAAAAATTTCCTCCGCATATCATGTTTTTATTAGAGAATCTAGAAACAAAAACTTTACTTAATTCTAGCTATATCATACTATGATATTATATCGTCGTCCATTGACCAAGCATTTTCACTGATTTAAAGCTAAATTGCAGGGGTTTTCTTGATATCAGTTGGCGTTGCTGTGATTCCCCTGGCGTTAAGGGTTCCCAACATTAAGTATTGGTGTCACATGGCTATTGTGGTTTTAGTAAGTGCATGCCCTTGTGCTCTTATCCTCTCCACACCTGTTACAATCTTCTGTGCCCTCACAAAAGCTGCCACAAGCGGTTTACTTCTTAAAGGTGGAGATTATGTAGAAGCACTTGCTGGGATTAAGATTCTGGCTTTTGATAAAACGGGCACATTAACAAAAGGGGAGTTCACTGTCACAGATTTTTCTGCCGTTGGAGATGATATTAGCATTCAACTGTTATTGTACTGGTAACTTCTATTAACAAGGCATAAACATGTTAATACATTGGAGCTTGAAAATACATAATTGGTTATAGACTTATAGTTGTCATTAAGACCTCTGGGACAATGATAAGATTCCGGATAGAATTCAGATTTATTCAAGAAGGAAGAAGCAAAAGATAAATTAGGATTAAATTTATTTAATTTAGTATTTTATTTAGTTTTAGATATTTCTTCAGATTTTATTTAGTTATTTAATTCTTTAGATTCAGATTTTATCTAGTTAGATTTTATTCAGTATTTTAGATTTTAAGAAATTTTATTTAATTATCTAGTTATCTAGATTTTATTCATTATCTTAAATAGTTATCTAGATTTTATTTTAGATTGTATTTAACATTATAAATATGACTAGCAACCTTGAAGCTAGCATACTAGAAAATTAATAAAACAGTCTTTCAAACCTTTTGGAGATTCTCTCGAGCGTGGCTATTAAGAAAAATATGGAACGAGATTCTTGTTCTATATCATCTTAATATATTTATTCTAATTATTTCTTCCGGTTATTGTGAGTCCCTATCAATTTGGCATCAAAGCCATGGTTACTACTCGTACGGGTCAAGAAACAAACCATCCTGACAATTCATCCAATCATTCACCAGAATATCAAGACTTGATCATTTCAGATCTAGCTGTCATAGCCTCAAGACTCGAAACTCTTGATTTATTAAAAGAGAAAATAGAGGCACTCGAAGCCTCTACACTCAACAAAGGCAAATATGCCCAAGAGGGCTCCCGCAAGCGTTATTATGAAGAAGAAAGTGAAGAAGAGCAAGAAACTCATAGACGTAGCAAATTTCATCACAAAAAAATTGAATTCCCAAAATTTAGTGGAGGTGACCCACGAGGTTGGTTCTTGAAGGCTGAAAAATACTTCAAATATTATGGCACACCTGAAGAAGATAAAGTAGACAAAACTTCATTGTCTCTGGAAGGTGACACCCTTGATTTGTTTGCTTGGATTAGCCATGAACAGACACTTCATTATTAGGATGAACTGGTGACAGCTTTTTAGGAGAATTTTGGACCCCCTGAGTACCAAAACCCTGACGAATTCCTGTGCAGCATCAAACAAGAAGGAAGCGTGCAAGAATACAGAGCAGAATTTGCCAAACGATCATCGCCAGTCAAGAATTGGCCGGAGCACTGCCTACTCGGTGTTTTTCTGAATAGACTGAAGGATGACCTATGCGCAGATGTACGTATTCACAAACCTAAGAGTGTTTATCGAGCTATGAATCTTGCACTAGAGTTTGAAAGGAAGCTTCTCTCTTGTGGGTCCAAGCCGAACGTTCTACAGACCCAGAATCTATATAATTCTTCCTTTCCCTTCGCACGAGAACAGACGACTCAGGCCCAGAAAGCTTCGACAGCGTCTTCGAACTCTTACAGAAACCTAGCAACTTTTTCTACATTCAACATTACATCGTCGAGCTTGGCCAGACTAGCTTCCATGGACGTCGAGCACCTGCGCAGGAGGGAGAAGGGCCTATGCTTCCGTTATGGGGACCCATTTCGACCTGGGCACCGATGCAAGAGTTCATTCTCTTTAATGGAGGTCACCGAAGAGGGCGAAGAGATTATTCCTCCACTCGAAGACACTGCACTTGAAGAATAGAACCACATGGAGCTAAAATTTCATTAAATGCCATCCTGGACAGTAACTCTGGGTCAACAATGAAACTTAGTGAAAGATTAGGCTCTCGACAGGTGTTATTGTTAGTGGACAGTGGGTCTACACACAATTTCATCTCTGATGCATTAATCCAAGAACTTTATCTACCTACTCAATCTATTTCTACTTTTGGAGTTCAAATCAGTGACAGTAGTATTGTGTGTTGCAACTGAATCTGCAAAAATGTAGAAGTAGAACTGAAAGGTCTAACCATTAAGGAAGATTTTTTCCCCTTCACTCTAGGGGGGCTGATCTAGTTCTTGGTATTAAGTGGCTAGCATCTCTCAACACAGTGCAAGCCAATTGGAATCAACTCTTTATGATTTTCTAGATAAATGGTAAGAGGTATAAGATGCAAGGAGTCACTAATACTACTAGAGGTGCTCAACTTAACTCAATGCAACAACTTGAAGCTTCTGTTGACTCTAAACCTCTCCAATATTTCAACCCAAAACTTTTAATTGCAGCTTTCCTATCTGTTTTTGAAGAACCCACAAACTTGCCACCATTTAGAAATCACTCATATGCCATTACCCTACTACCAGGGGCCAATCCTCTTAATTTACGACCATACAAGTATCCTCATTATCAAAAAACTAAGATTGAGAAGCAAGTTGAAGAATTACTAAAAAATGGGTTCATTCAGCCCAGTTCCAGCCCATTTGCAAACCCAGTCTTGTTGGTTGCAAAGAAGGATGGTTCATAGCGTTTATGTATAGATTATTGAAAATTAAATAGCATCACAATTCCAGACAAATATCCAATTCCCAATATTGTTAAGTTATTAGATGAGCTACATGGGGCAATTTATTTCTCCAAATTGGATTTACGATCTAAATACCACAAAATTAGGATGTCACCTGATGATATTTACAAAATGGCGTTTCGAACCCACTCTGGGTACTACAAATTCACAGTCATGCCTTTCGGCTTAACTAATGCTCCAGCCACTTTTCAAGCGGCTATGAACGATTTATTTTGTCTTTATTTGCAAAAATTTGTATTGGTATTTTTTGATAATATTTTGATCTACAGTGCCTCCTTCCAACAACACTAGGATCACTTGCACACTGTCTTGCAAACACTACAGGAAAATGTGTTTTGTGTCAATTTAAAAAAATGCTTTATAGAGAGGCTAAGAGTTCCTTTTTTAGGACACCAAATTTTTGCCCAAGGAGTAGAGGTGGAAGCTAAAAAGGTGGAGGTAGTACGTGAATGGCCTATTCCAAAAAGTGTAACGGAGTTATGTGGGTTTTTAGGCCTTACTAGATATTACCGATGTTTTGTGAAGAATTTCGGGATTATTGTGAGACCCCTTACTGAGTTGACTAAGAAGGATGCCTTCTTATGGTCTGAACCAACTCAGAAGGCCTTTAATCGCTTGAAACTTGCATTGATGATGGCACCTGTTTTACACTTGCCTAATTTTGAAGAGGAATTTACAGTTGAATGTGATGCATCCACCGAAAGGATTGGGGCTATACTGTTGCAAAACAACCATCCCATTGCTTACTTCAGTAAAGGGTTTTCTTTCTCTAACCGCTTCAAGTCCGCTTATGATCGTGAACTCCTTGCGTTAGTGCTTGCAATACAAAAATGGCGTCATTACCTCCTTGGGAGGCATTTCTTTGTTAAAACAGATCACACCAGTCTTCAATATTTACTACAACAATGTATCACCATAACACTCAACAAAGATTGATCATCAAGCTTTTACCATTTAATTTTACTATTATCTACAAAGTAGGAGTGGAAAATAAGGGGGCTGATGTGTTATCAAGATGACCGCAACACGCAGATTTTTTTTGGTTGGCAATCCCCTTTACGCCTGAGCTACATGACCTCCCCTCTGAATTGGCCTTAGATCCCTTCACTAATGCAGTAATGCAGGATTTGCAAAACAATCCAACATCTCGTCCTAGATTCCACTTGGTTAATCAAAAACTTTTCTATAATCACCGAGTAGTCATTCCTTATTCATCCCAGTTATGACCAAAGTTACTAGCAGAAGCCCATTCTACTATCATTGGAGAACACGGCGATTTTCTTAAAACATTTAAACGTCTCTCGGAGAATTTTTATTGGTCAGCAATGAAAGCAGATGTGAAAGCATATGTGCGACATTGTGTCACTTCTTAGCAAAAAAAGTATCAAACTCTGGCACCAATAGGACTTCTTCAACCCTTACCTGTACCCTCTCAAATTTAGGAGGACATCTCAATTGATTTTATCACAGGTCTTCCAAAGTCTAGTGGGTTTGCAGTTATTTTAATAGTGGTGGATCGTTTGAGTAAGTATGCCCATTTTCTTGCTTTTTCACATCCTTACACTACCAAGAAGGTTGCCACAGTCTTCTGTGAGGAAATTATCCACCTACATGGGATACCTTGGTCAATTGTCTCTGATAGGGATCCTATCTTCATGAGCTCGTTTTGGCAAGAGTTATTTCGATTAAGCCCGACCCAATTGAAGATGAGTACTGCTTACCATCCTCAAACAGATGGTCAAACAGAAGTGGTCAACCACAGTCTTGAAGCCTATCTGCAATGTTTTGCACACAAGCAACCCAAGTCTTGGCACAAGTTCCTTTACTGGGCAAAATACTCATACAACACAGGTCATCATACGTCAACCAATCATTCACCTTTCAAACTGGTATATGGGAGAGATCCTCCTCCCCTACTTCCTTATGTGAACGGAGAAACACCTATAGCTGACTTGGAAGATCAACTTGAAAACAGAGAGGCAATGATTTGACTTTTGAAGGATGATCTGCGCAAGGCTTAAGACCGAATAAAGGCTTATGTAGACAAGCATCGAAGGGAAGTCGAGTATGCTGTGGGCGATGTTGTGTGGTTGAGAGTACAGCCTTTTTTCCAACAGTCCCTTGCCAAGCGAAAGTTTGAAAAATTATCACCGCGCTTCTTTGGGCCCTATAAGATTCTTCGAAGAATTGGCAAAGTAGCTTATGAATTGGAACTGCCAACAGACGCTCGTATTTACCCTATTATCCATGTATCTCTCTTGCGCCCGGCTCATGGGATGGATCCACCGCTTGCACCAGCTGCCTTACCATTATCAGCTAATTTTGAGTTACATGTACGACCTCATCAAGTCTTAGATCATAGATGGACTCATTATCATTCGCTTGAACTATTGGTGGAATGGCATGAGCGACCTGTCGAAGAAGCGAGCTGGGAGGACTACGACCTATTGCATGCTCAATTCCCTTCTTTTCAACTTGAGGATAAGATGAGTTTTCAAGAGGAGGGTAATGATAAGATTCTGGATAGAATTCAGACTTATTCAAGAAGGAAGAAGCAAAAGATAAATTAGGATTAAATTCATTTAATTTAGTATTTTGTTTAGTTTTAGATATTTTTTCAGATTTTATTTAGCTATTTAATTCTTTAGATTCAGATTTTATCTAGTTAGATTTTATTCAGTATTTTAGATTTTAGGAAATTTTATTTAGTTATCTAGTTATCTAGATTTTATTCATTATCTTAAATAACTATCTAGATTTTATTTTAGATTGTATTTAGCATTATAAATATGACTAGCAACCTTGAAGCTAGCATATCAAGAAATTAATAAAACAATCTTTCAAACCCTTTGGAGATTCTCCCGAGCATGGTTATTGAAAAAAATATAGAACGAGATTCTTGTTTTCTATCATCTTAATAGATTTATTCTTATTATTTCTTCCGATTATTGTGAGCCCCTATCAGACAAGTTTATTTGTTCACGATTTATTTAATCTATTTGGTCCTTATAAATCAGGTCTATATCTAAGAACCTCTTAATAATTCTATTGCATATCTCTAAATTCTAACTTGATTGAGCTTATGAATACCTTTTAGGGTTTCTAGCATTGAGAGTAAATCAAGTCACCCTATGGCAGCTGCACTTTTGGAATATGGAAGGTTACATCGTATCAAACCAATCCCTGAAAATGTGGAAGAGTTTCAGAATTTTCCAGGGGAAGGAGTTTATGGTAAAATCGATGGGGAAGATGTCTATATTGGCAACAGGAAAATATGTGAGAGAGCTGGCTGTGAAAGTGGTACTGATAACACTATCCTTCAAACTTCAACCATTGTTCCTCACAGATTTCATATCATGAATTCATTTAAACGTTCAATTAATTTTATGCAAGTCAATCATCCTTACAGTATTGTTTAATTCAAACGTCGAGATACAGAGTTCCTAAGCAAAGAACAAAGAAATGGTTATATATGCTGCGGAACAACTCTAGTTGGAGTGTTCAGCCTATCAGATACATGCAGAACTGGAGCTTTAGAGGCAATAGAAAAGCTAAAGTCTTTAGGCGTGAAATCAGCAATGCTGACAGGAGATGGCACTCATGCTGCTACGCTTGTTCAGACTCAGGTATGCCTATAGTAAACTACATGAGGCTTGTAAATAGTGATACTTAATATGAAATTTGTCAGAGTTTGAACTCATGGTTCACTTACTTCATTGCAGCTGAATCATGCTCTAGACATGGTTCATGCAGAGCTTCTACCACATGAAAAGGCAGCGATCATAGAGAATTTCAAGAAAGAAGGGCTGACAGCCATGATTGGAGACGGTATAAACGACGCTCCAGCATTAGCCACAGCTGATGTGGGCATCTCAATGGGAATCTCAGGTTCAGCTCTCGCAGTAGAGACTGGGCACGCAATTCTCATGTCAAACGACATCAGGAAGATACCTGAAGCCATTGATCTAGCAAGAAGGACATTCAGAAAGCTAGTTCAGAATGCCGTTTTCTCCATCGTCACAAAGGGTTTGATCCTAGCTTTGGCACTAGCAGGATACCCACTGGTTTGGCTCGCCGTTTTGACTGATGTTGGGACCTGCTTGCTTGTGATTCTCAATAGCATGTTACTCCTGAACGAGAAAAAACACAATAACAAGATAAAACCCAACAAACCCAAATACGGGTTGTTCGTAACGGACAAGAACGAGCCATTACTTGAAAAGCAAACTGATTGCAGTGAGGGATGCTACAGCAATGTCTCTCGTAAAGTTTGTTGTTCTGATTATGGGCCCTCGAATCTGAGCCTGCTCGAGGAAGGTCATTGTGGGAAATTGGTCTCCGAAGATATTGGGATGTTAGAGACCTGCAATGATGGTGATGGCTGTTGCAGTGAAGTCAGGTTTGAGGAGGAGTCTTCATGCAGAACACAAAGCGGCTCTAACTGTTGCCAGATGAAGTACACAGAAGCGAAGTGTGGTTCTGGGAAATGTGGAAGTCGTCAATGCTGCGAACAATCCAGGAAGACATGCTGCGTCGATCGAGTTTACATACCAGAAATTGTGATTGAGTGATGCCTGCTTGATGATGAATGAGTCTCCAAATCCTATTCACGACTTCATTTGCATCGAAGTCAAGAGGGATAGATGTAGGGGACTTGATTCACCGCAGCGAGGGAAGGAAGAGATAGGATGGTACAGATCAGAGCACCCATTTCTCTCTCACAAATCTTTCTTCCTGATGTTGTAAGAGAGTGGTGACTGGTGTCACTCACAAATAGTTTTGTTGACTTGTTCCTTGAAATGGAACGCGCGTGACACTTCGATATACTATTATCATGTACTTACGTAATTCCAGTATCGTTGGCCAAAATGGGACAATTCTATGCGATTTTCTATTTTTCTTTTCATTTATAAGGTTCAAACTTAACATATTATTTAATGGAAATCAAATCCCTACCACTTAACACAACCACTATAGGTTATAAAAAAAATAATATAAAAATGTCTTTTATATTTTGAAATAAAAATAATTATTTTAATAAAAACATAATTTCTCCATTAAAAAATATAAGACATTTTTTTTTGAGGAATTAAATGTTAAAAAATTTAAAATATTTTAACTTTTTAAGGAGTAACTGTTAAATTTTTTTAAAGTACCGCTATTAAATAAATTATTCATATTTTTTAGAGTAAAATATCCCATTAAATAGAAATAAATATGAAAAGATAAAGTTCATTTAAAAATAATTAATTACTTTATTAAGGGTGAAATTTAATTAAAAATAATTTATATTTTTAAACGAAGGGAGTAATATATTTATAAACAATCCAAATTTATTTTTACTATTCATTATCATAATATTTTACGCCAGTTTTCCACGTCAATAAACAAATATATTTTTTACTTTTTAGTTATCTTACACACACATAACAAAGGTAACTAAGATTTATTATTATTATTAGAGAAAATTAGCTCAATGACATTAAAAAGTACAACTCTCATAAATTATAGATAAGGTTTTTAAATATTTTGGAATATGACACATTCCTAAAATTAATTAGATATATTTTTTTAATTCTCAGAATAAATTTATTATTAAAAAATATATCTGATTTAATTAATCTTTAACTGACTGGATCTTTCATTTTTATCATTAAAAATCATATTGTACATACTCCCTTTCTGATTTATCATCTTTGAATATATTTTTCATTATATTTTTTGATCTAATTTTTTCGGATCATCATATTCATCTCTCGTACACTGCTTTTCTTCATCGAAATTTTTGATTTGATTTGCTCGGATCACCATCTTCATCGCAAAGCTTTTCCTCTCTCTCTCTCTCTTTGTTTTTCTCAAATATTACAAAGAGGACATTAAACATTAAAAAGAAAACTTCATTTCTAATTTGCAATATTACATCACTAATATACGGCAATGATAAACAAATTGATAAATTTTCACTAACATGACTTATATGTCGATGATATATAATAGTATATCACTTGTATACTATCATAAATCAATATAATTAGATAATCAGATATAAATTTATTTATAATTGATATGTAGTATTGTAGATCAATAACACAAAAAACACATAATTATTTGTTCAAAACAGATCAAATATAGTTAACAAAAAATTTTGGACTCTTGGCTTATCATAGTTAATCAAATATTTAAACTAATAGAATAAAAAATCATGAATCTGTAGCTCCATTTTCCCTCTGGTTTGCTCTATTTTGTCGAGTACTATCGATGTATCTCACCTTGCGTTTGTTTCTCGTCATCATGACTGTGGCTCACCCACACTCCTCTACTATCTCGCTTTTGTCTCTCTCGCGTTGAGTTTTGTCTTCTCTCTCGTATTTGTCTCTCTCATTCTAGAGACTTCTTGCGTATTGAATCTCCTAGTATTTGGAAAAAAAAAGAGCAAATATTAAAATGGGTAGTTTTGTAAATTAATTATAATCTAAATATTAAAAGGTCCATTTTTAAAATTTAAAAAAGATAGGCTATTTTTTTAATTAATCTTATAATATGGGCTATCTGTATAAAAATTCTTTATTATTATTATGATAGTAAGATTACATCCAACGTTAATCTTTTTAAACTATATTATCATTTTTTATGTTACCAGATATCTTTGAATTTTAGTGTTTTTAAAAAGGTTAAAAATCGCCATGCAATTTGCTATTCATAAGAGAAAAGAAAAAAATTTATATATAGGTCCTGTAAAGCAAATTTATTTACAAATAAATCACACAAATTTCAGAAACTACAACCAGGTCTCTCGGGACCTAAGTACGATGAGAAATTAAGATAAAAAACAATAATGCCCCTATTACATTATATCAGTTAAATAATTTACAACTACTTCATCAGAATTTTACAACTATAACTTTTACTTTTTACCGCTATAAGTTCATATGTCTCATAATTAAATTGATCAGTTCAACTATTAAATATATGAAGTTACAATTGTAAAAAGCTAAAGTGATAGTTTGAAAACTATCAAAGATAAAAGAAAGACTAAATAAAATTGAAAAATGCCATGTCTACTACTATTGTGATGAAAATAATATATACGATAAGAAAGAAATAACCTAATAATGACTATTTAGAATAGTATCTTATCAAATAATATCTCTTAATAATGGCATAACAAATAGCAATATAAATTACTGATAAAATAATTATAAATAATTAATATTAAACTTTATTAATAATAAATAATTATTTAATTGTTAGATATGTGAAATTATAATTATAAAAAGTTGAAATTATAATTATAAATTGCTGATAAAGTTATTGTTAATTAATTATTTGATTGATGTAATATAAATTTAATAAGAATATTATTGTTTTTGCAACATAATTTTAAATTATACTCAAGTCCTAAAGTACTTGATTCTAATTTTTAAATTTTATAAAGACTTATTGATAAATAAGTCTACTCCACAGTATCTATATATAATTTTTAAACTGAAAATATATCCCCATGCAATACGGTGCAGATTCTATTTTAATTTTTTTTAATAAAGTGGATATTCTAGTTATTATATACCCATGCTGTAAATTATGAATGAGAACAGATCGAATTTTCTTATTGGACCTCAAAGCCTATGTGTGCGTTTCATTATTCAATTATATTAGATGTCTAAGATACAAGTGTTGATCCTAGTAAAATGGACTATGACGGTCTAAATACAAAATCTCAAGTTTAAATCCATATAAATATAGAGAATGCCTTTAAGAAAAGTACTCTCAATTAGACCCAATAATGCTTAAATGTAACCCAATCAAAATCATTAGAAAAAAGCCTAAATAAGTAGTGCCATTTGATTTCTGCATGTTCGGAAATCATTTAATTCTTGAATAATGCTTAGGCAGAAATGCCCTTGTCATCCTTATTTTGTTGCTTTTTTTTTTTTTTTTTGGTAAGGCTGTTTAATTGGGTCAAATTCTTTGTCTATCATAAGAATTCAACTCACGAGAAACTAGATCCTAGAGTTGTCAAATACATCCCTGTGGGGTAATCTCTGAACAGGATGAAGTACAAATGATGTCTCCGAACAAAATAATTAGTTGTTTCTTTGGACTTATCTTTCCTTGCAAAACAACCTTTCTTTCCTCCAAACACTCTTCATAGGGAGATCATAGATGGAGGTATCTTAGGATTCACCGGTAACTAGAATCGAGAAAAACTAGTGTGTCATGAATGACCAAATTATTCTGCAATCATAAATCATACATAAAAAATGCATTAGATAACATTGCCAGCCTTAGAAGGCAAATATTGTCTCCTTTTTCCTTCATGATCAAAAATAAACATTAACAGGTACCCAACTCAACCTTAGATTAGAGGTTGTAAAGACAAAAGAACAAGAAGTCTGACTTCGATATTACTTGATAATAAGATTTACATGGATCAGCCTCAGCTTCTGGGGTTGGAAAACAACCGAAGAGACCATATCAAAAGCAGTCGGTCAAAAAACTCTGACATGCCAGACCCTTTTGTTGTACAGCACTTTAATGAGAACTTTCACATCTCACGTTCCATAAATCCTGCACACCAGCACAGACTACAGGCTATGAAAGGCCAACATTTCAAGGACATAATTACTGAGAAGTATAGCCATTACCAGCTCACTAATGCATATTAAGCACCCTGTACTTTGCTTGACATTTCTTTTGCTTTGTTATCCCCCTTTTCCTGCAGGGAATAAGCCTCAAAAGAATTCAAAATCAAATATGATGTGCAGTAATGACTTACTGAAATCATGTCACTAAGCCAAATTATATGAATGCTTTGGCTCCTCCAGTTATAAACATCAATAATCAGTTGAATCAAATGCAAGATGCAGGGATCATTTACAAGCCATGGTTATTTGACAGTGAATTCTACCCTTCCTCTATTTCATTATCCTTTTGAAACCTATAGATGACAAACCCATTCAATTGGAGACATAATCTCCCCCCATAGTAAACTGAAAAGCCTTAGCTATGCCCTCTTTTCCAATATTGAAACTTAAAACCAATCATAAACTCGATGACCACCTTTTCACCAAAAGCGAGCAGAGGGACAACTTTAGGAATCTACTCGGTTCTGAATGAGCTCAGATTATTACCAGGACTATAGTCCATTGCAAGAGGGGCAAAAGTATATCTCCATGCCCACCCTTTATAGCCTCAAAACCATCATTCAATCCTCTGTGGCAATATAGCATTAAATTTTCAGCACCCAAATTCCAAAAGAAGTTCTGCTGCTTAACACATTGAAACAAGGTGATAAAAGAAGAATGTCCAGATTTCAAAGCCTTGCATGCTATTGCAGAGAGCTTACTTCGATTTTGAACACAAGTATTTTAGAAATTAACATATAATTGCTCACCATTCCCTTGCTTTCATAATAATCATCTAGTGCCCATTGGTACTTGGATTGGTTCAAGCCAAACCAGCGTGCTAAATGATCATCCAAACTTGAGTGCACTGTCGAAGTAAAGGTCAGCAAATAGCCAACAAAATTGAACAAGCAAATCAATCAAAATGGCGTAATCTGAAGTCATGTAATAGAATCTGAAATCATCACCAACACTAAAAAATGGGCAATATATTCATTTGTACTAGTTTTATTTTATTTTATTTTATTTTCGGTGAAGCACAAGATTTAATTTATGAAACCCCCCAAAAACAACGTATTTTCACCAACCAACACCCAACTACAGAATCTTTCATTTTCACAACTTCTACAAACAAGAGAACCTGAGAAGATAACACCCATGATTTCCTTTACTAATGCATCTTGACAAATGAATGGGTTTAAAAAAAAAAAAAAAAAAAGCTACTTAATTTATCTATTTTCGTACCCAAATAAAAAGTGAAAAAAGAACTCATATATTCAACATTCCCAGAAACTATAGTTAGGACTGAACTATCAGCAGCAGTGCGCACACGAGTAAATTAACAGCCAAAAAGAGCTAAAATAATGTCCAGGGAAACCCAAAAAAAAAAAAAAAACTTGTTTGCAAAAACAGTAAAATAACAACAACAACAACAACAACCATGGATGAAAGACAAAATATCAAATAGCAATGCAAAACAAAGACAAAATAAAGCAAGCATTGTTCAACATGCCAAGACAATCGTAATTCATGTCCAAAACGACAACATACCATGCTGCACCTTAGTAACCGCATTCTTGAAAAGCCCGGAGACGGAACCAGAATCAACAGCAGGCTTCTGAAAGACCTGGGGAGGAGGCTGAACCGGGGGCGGAGCGATCTTCTTGGGGGAGTCGAAAACGGCGTCGGAGGGCTTGGGGGTAGAAGGTGGGGTCATGAAAACAGTGTAAGGGCCAATTTTGCCGATGACAGGAGGAGGAATAGATTCCTTGTTGATAGGCATTGTTTCAATGAACGATTGTGATTGATGGAAATTGGAAGGAATCACAAGAATTTTGGGATTGGGACAAGGGTAGGGAAGACGAAGACGAAGACGAAGTGAAAGATGAGATTAAGAAGAGAAGGAAGTGAACCCACTGAACTGTACACTGCACGCTACTCCAAGTGAGGCGGATCGTTGTCTTCCCTTCTGCTTGCTTGCTCTGCTTTTGCTCGTCTTTTCGCTGTCCCCACCTCAAGGATATATTTGGAAATTTAGAATTTTATTTTATTTTTTTAAAATGGAATTCCAGCTCAAAATTAAATGGCAGGCGGATTTACAAAGTTGTCAATACTATTTAAAATGAGAAAATCACTCTCATGTTTCGCGCAATAAATTTAAATACTATAAGTAATTTTCCCATTTTAAATTTGTTTTTCCCTCAGTAAGTCACCTTTTAGCCTTTTCCAAGTTGCAAAATTTGGAACATGAATTTATTCTAGATTTTGGAGGTTAAAATTAGTGTGTTTGTGATCGGCTGATTTATACATGCATCCCTATCACCATCATGTTTCATGTCATAAATTTTTGAGATTGAAAATTGAAATGATGGCTTGGACCTTGAAGTGTAGAATCAATGACATATTATTTGCTTCTTGGGGAATAAAGGCATCTTAGAGAACTTGGAAGTGGAGAAAGCAAAGCTCAAAGAGAGAAAAGCAAGCTTGTGCACATCGTGACCCTGCTTTTCTACAACTTCCTTTTTTTTTTTTAACAGATTTCTACAACTTTCTTAAACGCCTGAGAAGATGTTTAGATAAATTTATTTTACTAGTCATCACAATAAATTCATCGTCAAAAATATAAATTCAAATGTGTCTTGTTTAGTCCTAATTCCAGCATTAAATCTTGGTGTTTATAAACATGTGAGATGCTTTGTAAATTTTAAGAGGGGATATATAATGGACTCGGCTTCTCTCCTTTAAGAGAAGCCTCCTCTGTCTCTCCTTTGAGGCAGAGGCTTAATCTTAATTTAGACGGTTCAGATTTAATTTTTTTCAATTTTAATTTATATTTTTAAAATAAAAGTAAAAAATTGTAAATTTTTTAATAAATATATTTATCAATCTAACAATCCATATTTAATATAGATGATTTAAAATTAATATTAAATTTTTTTAATAAATTTACTGTTCTGTTCAAAATATATTTATACTGTCCAAAATATATTTATAAAGTTAATTTAAATTTTTATATTAAATTTAAAATATCTATATTAAATATGAACTGTCAGATTGATTTGTATATTTATTAAAAAAATTTATAATTTTTATATATATATTTAATTTAAAAATAAAAATAAAAAATAAAAAAATTATTAAAAATAAATCACTCAAATTAAATTTAAATGGTTTAAATTTTTTTTTTTCCTCTCGAAAAAGAGGCAGAGGAAACTTATCTTAAAGGAGAGAAGATGGCTACATATATAATGGTTAAAAAGTGATTTACTTGCATCAAATAAAAATTGTTTAGAAGTGAAATAGAAAGGTGGGATCCACAGAGAAAAAAAGAAGAAAAAGTACCAGAAAAGTAAAGCATCCTTTCAAAAGCAACCTTTGAAAAGTACCGTCAAGCGAAATACTCCTTAGTTTTTTGCTCAAAAAAAAAAAAAAAAGAAATACTCCTTAGTAGGAGCCAATTAACTCGTTTATATAAATTTTAAAAAATAGTTAAATTAGTTAGTTGTCATTAATTTGTCAAAATTTCGCGACAGTTCTCCTCAAATAGCTCTCCCAATTCATGAGAAAAAATTAACAAGACAGATAAGTGAGATTGAAGTCTTGAGACAAATTCTCTAATAACCCACTTGGTGTACTAGAATTGATTCTAGAAAAGTAGGAAGGGAATCCAAAAAATGAGCTGTTTATGTTTGATATATTAGAACCCACTTCTATCAAATTAGAACCAAACAAAATAATAGGAATTCACACTCAACGAACAGTTTTTTTAGGGCGGGGGGGGGGGGGGGAGGGAGGGAACCGCTTCCTACCACTAATTGATTAAACATAGCTTTGAGCAATCCAGTTTCGTTAATTCGTTCCAATCCAATTCCATCCAGTGAATGCACAGCCTTTATTGATACATCCAAAACTCTAGACTCCATTATTCTCGACAAATCTAGCTTTTATATACAGCTAGAACATGAGTCTCATGCTTCATACATATCATAAATTATATTATTCACAATTTATAAATAGTATCAACTCTAAAAAATTTTATCATATATAGTTCGGTTTCACAAATTATGCAAATCCTACTAAAGCATACGATGTTAATCCTGCACAAATGAGGTCCAGGATTATTCAGACAAGCTGTATAATATAGATGTATGTATGTATGTATGTATACACACATAAATTGCACACCTCTAAACATACTGGGTAAATAAAAATAAATAAAACTTCTTTTCCGGCCTGAAGCTAATAGGACATAGAAGGACAGAAAATCAATTCAATCCACTCCAATGAAAGTCCAAATGGTTTGACAATTTGAGGACGAAAATAATAAAAAGAAAAAAAAACGCAGAGAAATTAGAGCTCCAGATTATTTATACACATGTTGAAACCATAACTTGAGGTTAACCTGCAACAAATCTCCCGAGCAGTCCAAATCTGAGCCATCCACCACCCAATTCGCAGCTGACACAAAGTGGAAACTTTGTTGCATACAATAATAATTACGTCACTATGAACATGCAATTTTTTTTTTTCTCCTTTTGTTTTCCCGGTTCACATTACAGGATTTAAACAGGAACAAGACACGTTAAATCAAGTCAGAAACTAGCCTAATATGCTCTACCTAATTGTTATCAGATACTAATAATCTATTCAGGAAGAATAATTCATTGTGCGAACTGCGTACTGAAGGGCAAAGTCTCACGCAACCTCAAAAAGCAAACACGGTCTCATGTCACTCGTTCAAAAGTTCTCTTGCCAGAACCGGTTCAACCTTACATGAAAAATGCATCGAGCACACAACTTAATACAAAAGTTCTGACCAGAGCATTGCTTGTCAAGTCATCAGTGACCAAACCAACCTTTAGCCGCCAACCGATGCTCAGTGATTTTACACCTTTGGAATAGACCCTCTTGGTATTCCCTTCATTACAGCTAGCAATTTGTTCATTCACTGAATCCCTAATTTACAGAACTTGCCAGAGAAAGCTCATGAAGCTCGCTTAGCATCCATTCCTCCCCCGTTTGACCACCCAGTACAATAGCTCTCGTTCCTCCAACAATACATGTGCTGTGTCCCCAAGCAAATCTAGGAGGGCGCCCCGGTACATTTAGGATTCTCCATGTAGGTTTCTCTTCGGTTGGGTCCAGGATGTAAAGCTGGGAGGCAGAGTGAAGACCCGCAACCGATCCGCCAAATATCAGGATTCTCCCACCAGGAAGACTAACTGCTACATGATCAAGTCTAGGAGGGGGAGCGATGCCCCCAGGATTCCCAGCACCGGGCATTCCACTCCCAGTTACACATCTCCAACATGGTTCCTCCTCACTTAGGTCCATGGTGAATACATCACTGGAACGAAACCGCAAGGGCCCACTCTTAGCAAGACCTCCAAACATTAGTATTTTCCTACCACCATAAACAGATAGTGTGTGCCCCAGACGAGAAGGTGGAGTCCATGCCACAGGTATCTCCCTCCAGACGGGTTTCTCCATAGACAGATCAAGGAGGAATGTGTCACTCAAAAGTACTCCCGAATCTGCACAGCCACCAGAAACTATCAACTTAGTACCATCAAGAGTACAGGAGCTGTGCCATGATCTTGGAAGCGGAGGTGCCAATCCAGATATTTCACGCCAAGTGGGAGGCTTTGCATCCAGGTCCAGCACAAACACGTCATTGAGCAAGCCCTGCCTTCCACAGCCTCCAAATACAACCAAATTAGAACCATTCACGCAGGAAATTGTGTGGCCCCAACGACCAGGAGGAGGAGAGCTCACCTGGACGTGCTGCCACTCTGGATTTTTTGAGTTCAGATCTAGCACAAAGGTGTCATTCATAGGCTGCATGTTAACCCCTTCACCACCAAATAAGACAACTCTATTTCCAACAGCACAAGCACTAAAATTACAGCGTGAGGGTTCAACAGCACCTCCAACAGTCAGCTTCCTCCATGCTGCGGCTTCAAGAGTGGTCAACTCCCTTGCTAGTCGAACCCACCCAAGTCTCTTTGCACCAGGTACAGTCTCTAAAACACGTGTAGTTTCACTGCCCCATGCATTTTGGCACACCATTCTCCAAAGGTTTTCATTTTTTGTCACTTCATATAATCGCATGCAGACAGAGCCAACAGAAGCAATATCTCTTGGAGTTAGGCGGGCAAGTATCTTGAGAGACAGTACCTCATCACTCAATTGCAGAATCCCACAGACTCCACGAGATACATTACGGTCCCCAACTGGAAGAGGACTCAATGTTGAAAGAGCAGTACGAAATTGATCAGATGATTTGGCAGAGTCCTTCATTGCAGGACCCAGAACAGGACCAAGATCAATATTTGCCTCTGTGAAGAACTGGATTCCAATGACATGTGTTATAGTCTCATCATCTCCATATATAGGTGTCAGCCGCAATCTGTTCATCAGTGGAGATCCATCTTTCCTAAAGTTCAGTAACTCACCTTGGAACTCAATCCCCTCCTCAAGACATCTCCTAATTTCTGAAACTACAGCAGAGTCCACTAATGGATGCCTTCTTTTAGCAAATGGCCCCCGACACTGCAAGAATCGACTGCAAAACATTTGGAAATTATTAAAAAATAAAGCAACATTCAATTAGCAGCATCCAGGAAGAGACTCAAGTGAGCAAATGATGCTAGAGGGCAATTATGTATTGATTAGCTCGTCCTATAGAAATCCCCATCCTTTATTTTCTTTCATTTATTTCCCGTGGAAGTATTCAAGTCAGAATACCCTTTTTACTTCAAAGAACATAAGAACTTAAAAACCAACACGCAAAGACAATAAAGTAATTCTGTACACATGACCTGTCACTGTCAGTTCACTAAAGCATCTTAACCCTAATGAGCTTCATACAAGAAAATTATATTATTTTGGAAATCCTAACCCATCGCTGTAGGCCAATGAAAACAAGCATAAGCCACTCTCACAGTTACTGTAAAGAGATTATATCCATTTCTTTTAACTTCCAAGCACAAAGCTTGCTCCTTAATCATGAAGCATGAGACAAAATAACTCCAAATAGGTTGATCCCTACAACCCCCCCCCCCCAAAAAAAAATTATAGACATGCACACCATAAAAAAAATAAAAATTTGAAGGCCATTATTCTATATGCTTCATGCATTAGCTATAGAAACAACTAGATATGCAAGTCATGCTCAAGTTTATACTAAGTCTACACAATCAATAAAGTTACTGATTGGTAATTAAAAATGATACTGGCATTGTATCCAACTAAAGACTCAATCTACTTGCAAAAATTAAAATATGTTCATGCTAAAGGCCAAGGAAGAGCATCACAACATAAAATCAAACAGCTCTTGCAGTAAGGAATAAAAAGCAAAACTAATTTCCCATCATGGCTGTCAAAATTGAATCAATTCAAATTTAAAAAATAATTAATTTTCTTAACCAAGTGAGTGACTTACAAATAAAAACCAAATTACAAACTACTAAAGAATATAAGGACAACATAAAAAATCAGTAAAACTATAGGAAGCAAACTATAAATGCGTCTACTGATGTGACAAAAGATTATTTGCTACATGTGCAACCCGCTTGCCACATGACTACATCAGCTGTTAGTGATAGTGCATTGATGACACTAATGTCAGAACTCAAAAAAAAAAAAAAAAAGCCCGTGAAGATTCAGTAGCAAGCTTACAACGTGCAGAGACCTACCTATATAGAAACTCTATAACGCTATAGGCACCAACGCATTAATAAAACCTAAATAACTAATGAAATATACATACTCATGAAAGGCATAATAAAAATGCATCAAAAAAGGTAATGCATTTTGACAGAGAAACAGGATATTAGGTAATAGCATATCCAATTATCCATTAACATCCCGTTTCAAGTAATAAACAACAGAGAGCTTGACAAAAAAAGCACAAGTGCTGACCCACAGAATCCAAACAAGTCCTTGCAGAGAACGTCCACAATAGTTGCTTCCCCAAAACAATCAAAAATAAAATTAAAAAGAAACAAACCAGTGTATCAGCAAGCAGTTTCAATATCTCAAAACAAGCACATTTACTAACAATTCAGAGCGGCAAAAGGAACAAAGAAGATTGTGTTACTTGTTAGTGGTTCATTCATGCTATTGATCACTCGTATGTACCCACAGGAAAGCATTTTGCATTCATTAAGAAGCAAGAATATAGAATATGCCAAAAGTTGACAAATCTAACCAGAGAAAGAACTCATTCATATTCATAATTAAAAATAATATCAATTATTATCAACATGAATAATAAAAAGATTCCAGGCCGGAAAAATAATTAATAATAATAAAAGAAAAGCTTCATTAAAAAATGAAATCAAAAAACAATTTTAAACTATCAAGTCATCAAAATCAATAATGCCCTGGGTTTCATCTCATGACAAATCTTAGGACTAGAATGACTTCTTTCTTTTTTGATCGATAAGGTATTGCAAAAGGGATATGCAGAAAACACATCTGCCATGAAAACAGGACCCTGCAGACTCTAGTAAAAGGAAAAATGCTGATGAATTAGACACTCATTCAAAAGCACTTGCGAATAATAAAAATTTGATCTCACACAAATATATTTACCAAGCGTCACTGTCATGAAAAAATAATAAAAACAAGATGCTGAACAAATATAGCACTAGACATGAAATTTAAGACTGAAATCCCTTTCAAAAGGGCAGTGTGCGAATATAGCATCAATTGTGGCATGGCCCAAAGTTAAATCATATGCATGCTAGATCAATAAGGACAATCGCAGGAATCATGCTATGTGAAAATTAAGCATGATGTGATTAAGAGATGGGAGGCAAACCCACTGATCATGAGAAATTCTCAAACAAATTTCTCCACAACTGCCTGGCACCATCACAGTGCAGAAAGATGATTGGCAGATTCAAAACAGTCCTAATAAATGAAATAAAAACTTGGAGGCAAGGTTTATGTGGTCAAGACACCTGCAGCAATTCACTTCTACTAATTATTAATTCTATTAATTCAAGCTTAACCGTAGAGGAGGCTTTAGCCTGACATAAAAAATCTTCATGGGAATTATGAATACAAGGATTATAAGTTTAAAGTGCAAAACAATCGTGCAAGTGCAATGAAGAAAACTAGAAAAGTTACATAGAGTCAAAAATACCAAGAATAGAAATCAAACCAGAAACTTCTTTAGTATTGGGGTTCCTTAGAAAAGGAAAATTCCAATAATTGAGAGTCACAAGGTTGGGACTAACAAAGATAACACTTTGCAGCAGAGTACCAAGAAACAGAAAGCATTTAGCAAGGTAGAAAGAAAATACAAGAGGGGAAAGAACCAAAGACAGGACTCCTCAATCCACAAATCACCTAACTAACGGGTGTGGAATCATAGCCCACACTTGAAGAGAACAAAGAGATCCAATGGAACACCAGATAAATGAATTTCCTGAGACTTCCTTTAGCAGCATTAATGTCAATCTTGGCATCCTAAATATTATGATGACCTATATCCTAATCACTTTATCCCACAGGGAATGCGATTTCAAATGAAAGTCCCACAACTGTTAGCCAGAAGTGAATTTTCTTCCATAGAAAATTACTAACCCAAGGCCAACATGCCTTGGCTTACAAAACATTTCAAAACTTATCAATTATCCCCTTTGTGACCAGAAGAAGCCTCTCATTAAAGCAAAACATAGATGGGAATAATTTACAGACAGACCTGCACAAGGGCAACATGCCACACGCCCACACCCCTGAAAGGAAAATAAGCTTCCTCCCAGTTATCAAGTATTATCGAAATGTTTGGCTGAACATGATCCCAGGAAAGTGGTGGTTCAAGGAACACCACCCAAAGGCACCTTAAAACACACCCCAGCCCACTCTAAAATCTCATAATCAGCCAGCTTAGCTACAGCAACAGTACTCAACATTTAAACTTGACAAGCAATTCTTAGCGAAGTTCATGAGCAGTATGAGCAAACCAGTAGTAGTTCATGATGTATATAGGATCTTACATGTGCTCTAACAGTCTCTTTCATCACCAAAAGGGTTATGGCAAAGCATGGTCCAATTTTCTTGACACTAATACGGTAATACCCTAACCACATCTGGACCAAAACGGATATGGCAATGCATAGTCAAATTTTCCTGACGCTAAATGCCTCTACCGCATCTGGCAAATACCACTACCTTCAGATGTTGCCCGCTTCACTCATATGAGAATAAAATAACGGGACTTGCTCAATATATAGACTCAACTTGAATACCAAAAGCAGACTGGATTATAGAATTGACCAAATATATAATCTCTCTGCCATGTCTTCTTAATTAGCACCCCAAACCTAAAAGTCAAAACCCTAAACAATACTTTCTTTCATTCTATAATTCCAACATAGGGTAACAATAGCCATAACCAGTCTCATAGTAAAACGTCATGTCATGTTTATTCTATCATAAAACCTTGAATGCCCACTTTACAATTTATCATGAACAAGTTATTTGTTACTTTTTACTAGTACACAGAATATCACAACAGGATTAAATTGAACCAATATGAATTATCAAAATAGTTAATAAAGCATTTCCGACCGTTCATAAATATGTTCTCATTTTTTAATATGCCGGAAATAAGTTAATATATTCTCATTTCTTGAAAGAGCCAGACAAGTGAGGAAGCTATCATATGCACCATGTTAATAAATGGTCCTGCCCATATAGCTTTGAAATCAGCCCTATTTAAACCAAAAAATTACGCCCTTAAAGGAGCAGAACGCTTGTAGCAACATCGCCCTGACAAGGAGAGGACCAGAATATGCCATCAAGTTCTTCAATTATTAACCCTATGAAGGGGAAAACAATAGAATTGTCAACGTTCTCAGACACTTAAGACAAGAGCAAGGGTTTTGAGCCGGAACCTTGTAGTTGGGCAGGCCTAAACCAAATACCTAATATAACCAAAACCAACTCGCAAATATGATGTGATATTTCATATCCACACATCTAACAAAAAACAAGTAACAATTCAAATACAATAATAGAAACCAAACGCCAATCAACTCCAGCGAAATGTGTCTCCAGAACTCATTTCCCATGAACAACAACCAAAGCAAGAGGAAAAGCAAATGAGTAAAATTAGTACGAGCTCAAAAACTGACCAGTTACGACCAAGCACTTCCTCTGCTCGATACCCAGTAACCATCTCGAACACGGTATTGACATAAATAATAGGGTGGTCAGGCTCTAGCGCATCAGTGACGACGAACCCACAGGGAGTCGTTTGGAGCAAGTTTTCCACCGGGAAGGGGAGTGGGCCACCATCGTTGAGCATGAAGGTCTCGTCCTCGTCGCCGCTTAGATCCGAATTGCTGTCCCACTCCATGTGGCTCGAAGAAGCAGAAGAAAATAAGTTCAACCCATGGATGGAAAAAAAAAAAAAAAAAAAGATGAAGCAAGGACGGGGGGAGAGAGAGAGGGAGGGAGGGAGAGAGAGAAAGGTGTTAGAGAAAAGGTTCAGAGGTATAAAACGAGTGGCGTGCAAAGTTTGGAAATTTAGCTGAGAATGAGATTTTCGGGAGAGAGAGAAGGGACTATTTGTGATTTACAAGTGTGCAATCGCACACCCAATACGAACCAACTGTGGTTTCTTGTAAAAATCTGGAGATCGGACGATCGGGTTCGGTTGCTTGTGTAGGATTTGGTGTCTTCCGCTTACCATTCTCCCAATGATTTCTATTGACGATTTATTTGAGATATATGTTGGACCCAACAAAAATTAGGGGATATTTTGATTTTGATTTTGATTTAAAAATAAAAGCACATATATGTGTGTGTGTGTATCATATAGACACGTATGTACATGCACATATGTAACATCACTATCATCAGTATGAAACATGAATGGGAGCATCAGTATGTTGAGCTATGTTATCAAAAAAATTTAACCTATGTAATATATATACACACACACACATATATTAAAGTGAAATAAAAATAAACTGTTATTATTTGATGTGATTTTAGAAATAAAACTACATATATCTTTGTCTTAAATATAATATACAGTAATAATTTACTTTTCTGAAATATAATACTTATTTTGTTATTTTTAAATCTTGATATAATGTAAGAAAAATATTAACGATACCAAAAAAAATTGGATAGAATGGAACCAAATAAAAATAGTAAACTTAAGGAGTAAATTTGCTAGTTAATTGAGTTTGCATTTAGTTTAAATTTATAAATAAGTTGATATAATTTTATAAGCTAGAAAAGTAAAAATAATAAACTTAAAAAATTAACTCAAGAATTTGACAATAATATATAAAACTAAATAAATGTCAAAAAATGAAACTAAATTTTAAAAAAAAAACTTTAAAGGAATATATTCATCTCAAAAGTATTCAAAACGAAATCAAATTTACAACATTAAAAGGAACCAAATCAAATTAAGGGCCCTTTTTATTTTATTTTTTTGCTGGCGAAAAGTTAATTTGTGAAAAATTTGTTTAATAAAAATTAATTTAATAAAATTTAATTAATGTAATAAAATTTATATTTAGATATATTTTTTAACAATCAATTTGGTAAAATAAAAGTTATTTAAATAATATATACTCTTAGATGTATAATTACTGAAAAAGGATATGAGTTTTCCTATAAGTAACTTTTTTTATGCATTTCTTGATGCATTAAAAAATTGATTTACAAATAATTTATGAATAACATACTTTTCCAAAATTTTTATAAGTATATTGATTTCATAATTTACATAAACTAAATCATGAACCGTGATTTAAGAGACAGAAAGTGTACATTTTAGTTAAAAAAAATATCTAAAGACCCGTAAATTCATAATTATATTTTAAACAAATACATTTTAAAAAGAAATGGTTTTACCTAAAAAAAATATAAAAAGAAAATAAAATAAGATTACTATGCAATTTAAACTTTAAACTATATATTCAAAGGTGATCTAAACCATAAACTTTTAAAAAATATATTTTAAATTCTAAATAATTAAAATTAAGATAATTTTACTCTCGCTGTTAAATTTAAATAAATTTTTATAGGCTTAATTTGTGATTTTCACCAAGTGAGAGTAGGGGGGAGAGAAAGAGTAAAATTTGGTAAAAATTTGTACAGTAGATCTCAATTTTTTAAAAACTCATAAATGTTTGTTGAAATTTAACAGTGAAAGCAAAGTAATCTCAAATTAATTATTTAGGATTCAAAATATATCATTTTAAAAGTTTAAGATTCAAATCACCCTTAGACCTATAATTTAAAATTTAAATTATATATTAACGTTAAAAAAATACTATTTTGCAAGGGAGAAAGAAGCATGGAGGAAGATGAAAAATCACAAATATAAGAATGCAAGGGAAGGGATGGCAAGGTGAAATACAAAATTATGTACATGTTTTAACACCCTCAATTATTACCCAACACTCAAATGTAAAATATGAGTTTCAAAAGCTACCTACCGTCACATCCTCAAACGCCAAATTCAACATCATTTCAAATGCACTTTCAAAATGCACATTCATTTTCCAATTTTTTTTCAAATAGCTTTTAACTCTTTAAAAGTGCTAAATGTTAAGCGAAGGATATCCAAATGGTGACTAACATAAATCAATCAAAACTTACAATTCACTTCTTGTGCCTTCATGGCTTGTATTTGGCCAAAAAAGATTTTATAAATTTTAGTAATAAATCATTACTTCTTCTCACTGTATATATAATATCTAAATTGAACATTAATTTAGTGTATTTTGCTAAAAAAAATTAAAGAAAATATAACTTCTAGTCTCGAAACTTCCTTTCAATTATCAATTTATTAAACTTTAGTTATAAATAATTTTTTATTGCGTACATGTGTCTTTTTATTAGAGACAATCATATTTAAGATATGGCAAGAAACTAAATGCAATTATAAATAATTTAATCTACATCTTTTTGGGGTCATGAAAATATAAGTGCTAAGTTTTATTTGGACAAATAGCTATTTGTAAACCATTGTTGTAAACTAAATTAATAATTAATTTTTTATAAGTTTAAAGTTATACACTTTTTCGATTTTGTTCTCATTTTCTATTCTTAAGAATTATTTGTAAAGGGTTACTGGACAATTTGTCCTTTAAAATTTAAACTATAGATTATGAGCGTCCAAGACTCTAAAATTGTTTTTAGTAAAATATTTCTTTTTAACTTTTAAAAATGATGTTATTTTATTCCTACTATTAATAAAAGTTAATTTTGACCACCAGTTAATTAAAAAATAACCTCAAAATTATAGAAAAAGATCCAAAAATTATCTCAATCTTTATCTGTAATTTTTGGTTCCTTTCTGTGATTTTTAAAGTCTTTCTTTATCATATTTTAATCAACTAATAATTAAAATTAACTTTAGATAAAGGCGACATTGCACATTTTCAAAAGTTTAAGGACAACTACACCAAAAATAAGTTTAAGGTTCTGGATGCTCTTAAACATGTAGTTCAAAGGCCAAATTGTCATTTAACCTTTTTTTAAATCAAGATAAAAGAAAATTTTATTTCATTATATTAATTTAAAATAGTTTTAATGTAAAGTCTCAACTTTCATCCTAGGCTTTACTTACACATCTATACCTTAACTTACAACACAATACAACATCAAAGATAATATTAGAAATACAGCTCATAAACTATTTTTTAAAATGTAAGATCTTGACTTTGTAGAAAATATGTTAAATAAAAAAGGCTAATGAAAGTGTAGACTCCATTCCCACTACTCAAACAATCAACAATTATCTTTCTCAAAAATAGGCCATGCACTGCTACGACATATGACACAAAGCAAAATGCCCTAGTTCTATGTCATATGTTGTGGCTTACACACCATGTGTTGCGGCACATGTATCAGATTCTACTGTCATGGAAAATTTTTTATACGAATTTTTACTGCCGCCATTTTCATATCCAACATTTGATTGGAATAATTCAGGTATCTACACAAAGCTCACAACATAATTTATCTAATAAGATAAGTTTAGACATGATCCAAAGATCCAATTCTAAATTAGACATTTAGGTGTAAAAAATCACTTTTTCAATTCGAAATTTGGCACTCTAAGTGTTCAATTCTTATTTTTTGCATCATTAGACCACTTTGGGTCTTGAACTAAATCCAAAGGACTAAGTATACTTAATTAACACAATATATTATGTATATCACATCAAATACATATTTTAGCCTCTTCATGGCACATTACACACTTGTAATCTTATGTGAGTATCACATGCGTTCACATACGCACATCCATACTCATTACACTTTCATGCCTTTGACTTTCACATATGAGGCTAAATCTCACCATAAAATCGGGAATTATAAATATATTGGACTCATACTGTAACATCCTAATTTTTATATAATAAAGAAATTGTGGAATTTAGGTTTTGAGGAAAAAAATGATAATAATAGGAATTTATATTATTTGAGATTATTTAGAAATAATATTATGGTTAGGTATTTAATTATGAATTTAAAAATTTAAATTTAAAACCACATAAGCAATATTTAGTTAAGATATAATACATAAATAATTTTTTTATGTGTGTGTTAAAAAAAAAGAAGAGAAGGTAGAAGAAAAAAAAAAAAGGGGTGGAAGGTTGTTATTTCTAAGTCCCACATTGGTTAGATGAGGGAAGAGAAGAGGTGCCTTCATGTATAAAAAGGAGGGGGTGTGTGCATTAGGAAGCATGAGAGGCTAAGATGCAATTTAGAGAAAATTGCAACTTATGGCCCAAAGGTTTGAATAATTAAATTCAGACTTATAGTTTTTTTTAATATAATTTTGGGACTCACAATCCCATTTTTATATTATTTTTCTCTCTTCCTCTCACGTTGCTCGGCGTTTTCTGCAAGGGGGGATTATTTTCTTTTTCTTCAGGTATGTTCTAACTTTCCTGTTTAGATTAGCATTTAAAAATTTATTTAATTACAAAATTAATTTTATAGTTATTTTCTAAATAATATTAGCTTTCTAGTGATATGATTATTTTGTAGGATAGAGTAAATATTTTTGATTAGGATTTTTCTATAGGATAGTTAATCTGATGATATGATGGATTAAAAATATAGGTTAAAACTCTTAGAGATATAATAAATATTATAGAATATTTTCTTGAGGTTGAAACTCATGTTTAAGAATTTTTGAGTTAAAATCTAGATCTATATGGTTGAATTTATATGGAATCTGAGATGTAGGGATGAACCTCTGATTATTAAATATTTATTTAAGTATGAATAGGTATTTTTGAGGTTATAGAAAGGTGATTTGAGGCTTCAGGATAATTTTAAAATTTTTAATTTATTTTTGGACGAATTTTTAGAATATAGAAGGATGAAATTGTGATACTAGAAGTGATTTGAGGATAAAAAAAAAATAGTTTATTAGGGTACGAGAATTTTAGAAAAGAATTTGGGAAGTTAAATGAGGCATAAATCTTAAATTAGTGTTAATATGGATTATAGATCTAAGACTTTCTAACTATTTAAATTAGAGTTATTTATTTTAATGTAAAATTAATATATAGTATTGTGAAATAATTATGTAGATTATATTGACAAAGATAGTGGTGAAAAAGGAGTTGTGAAGGGGAACTTGTTATTCAAGACACAAGGTAACCATTATTAATGTGTTGTGATGAGTGTGTTTGTGAATGGTTATGTGTT